ATTTAAAAAAAAAAAAAAAAAAAAAAAAAAAAAAAAACAACCCACACTCCACAGGCAAAAGGGAGAAAAAAAAAATTTTTTTTCAGGTGCTAAAAATATGATCAGGAAATACTTTCAGCAATGTGCTGTTTTAGGTCCCCCTCTGGACTCAAGGGCGCCTTTGTCTCTGCCACAGAAAATCCACATTTATCAAAACCAAAATTGCTTTATCAAGCAGGCTCATGTTCTGTGGCAGGAAACTCGAGCCTTCCCCACAGGCCTGTGACACTTTAATTTAGGGCCTGATTTTTGCGCAGTGTAGAGAGGGAACCCCCTCCAGAGCCACCCCAGGGCGCTCAGGACTTGGGCACCTGGTGGGAAAAGAAGGAGAGCTGGGCCTGGTCTCCGGTCCCACAGGACCAGAGGTGGCAGTGGAGCACAGCAACCCCCTCCCAGCTGCCCATCACGAGGTCACTTCCATTCCCACCCCATGGGTGCAGCCAGAAGCCTGGCCCCCGGTAAATCTCTCCATTCCAGGAGGAGAGAAGCAGGGACATGGGAGAGAGGACAGCCCCCCTCCCTTGGGGCTGTATGGGGCAGGGGAACTGCACAGCCTGACTTGCTTCTCGCTGTGTGCACATGAAGCCCCACGCCTGCCACCCATGCAGGACATCAGAAGTTCCTGCTGGGGAGGAGCCAAGGGGGTGGGGCTTGGCCTTTACTTCCCCAGAGGTGATGTTGCTTGATGCCAAGGAAAGAGGGAGGCAGCAGATGCTGCAGGTGGCACAGGTGCTGGGTGCTCCTGCCTTCAGGGGATGGAGACCACTGCCCCCTGAGTACTGGCTGAGGGGCTGCACATGGGGCCAGGGTGACCCAGGCTCCAGAAGGCATCCCGGACTCCCTGAAGGGACAGTCCCATTTGTTCTCCTTCCCTCCCAGTCCCCAGAGCTTGCTCTGCTGATAGTTGTGCTTCAGAGGCATTTTTAATGACACAGAAAAACCTAATGATATTACATCAGTAAAAGTTGCTTTTAAAAAGTAATGTTCTAAGTAGTACACAAGATATGACTTTAACTGTCCCACAAAATGTGCATGCTGGACAAAGGAAAGGAGGGGCCCTAAGGCCTGGTGCCTGCAGAGGACAGAGGCCATTTGAGGTCCACCTTAGCATTGGGGGTGGTTATGACCTTTATGTTCTGATTCTCTGTGATTTATTTATTTTTTTGCAATGCCTGTCCCGAGCTGTGTAAGGATGGGAACGTTGAGCATGAACCACATCTTGGGGGGTGGCCCCTGAAAACTTGGTTTGGGGCTGTGAAGTCCTCTGAGGCCACCTCAAGAGCCGCACATGGAGCCTAGGACACAGACTTGTTTGGAAATCCAGGGTCCATAAGGCACTCTGGGGCCTATCCTCTGTAGGCACCAAGCCTGAGGACCACCTCCGAGCCCCACAGACACCTTGAGGCTGACCATGCTCAAGAGAGGAATCTCACTGTGGTGGCCTCTCAGAGGCTGGGCTGCACTTTCTCTAGAGCTCTGGGGAGCAGGTCGCTGTGTGGCTGTCATGGTCCTTTTCCCTCAGACTCTGGGCATGGCGCAGGGTAGGCATCCAGAGCCTTTTCCCTCCTTACCCGCCCAACTCCTGGCTTCACCTCCCAGAGGGCACTGCTGTCCTCCAGGTACGTGTGGAGGGAGGAGGGGAGACACATCTGCCACATGCTGCATTTCACAGGATGCTGTCAGGCCCCAAGGCAAGAGAGCGCTGCATTGGCTCACTGCTGCCTGTACCTGGCCACTGTGGGTGGACACATAGCCATCAGGGCACTCTGCCACCACTAACTCCTGTGCCTGGAGTGTCCCATCAGAGCTGGGCTGAGCTTTGGATCCTTCTTACTCTGCCATTGATGAGCGAGCAGTGTGGACAGGCCACAGGGCCTCTGCTCACCTTCCTAGCCCTGGCTTTGAGGACTTAGAATGTGTTACTCTGTTACTAAGTTCAGGTAGGGCTGACCAGATAGGACAGCCTTTGACAGCACAGTCACAGCTCATGGTAGCCAGCATGGGTGGTGTTCCATGACGGGGCCCTGAGGGCAGCCTGGGCCAAGACACACGGGATTTTCCTTCAGCCTGGTGCCTGGTCCTGGAAAGGTGCTGCTTACAGCGTGAGGGCCATTGCAGAGGAAGATGCATCACTCTGACCAGCACCTCAGGGAGACCAGGGAAAAGGCCACCAAGTGGCTATAACAGGCCCCTATGGCAACTGGGCTAGATTCCCATGGGAATTTTCCCAGTAGCTCCCCACCAGGGATGCAGGAGCCTCTGGAACAACTTCAGATTTCACACTCCAGTGCCTCTCCTGGTCAGTGAGTCACAGGGACTCGAATTTGAGTTATTTCCAGACACCTGCCACCGTGACAGGCGGCAGTTCCTGGACGTGGGAGGTTCCACAGCTTCTGGACGTGGGATGTGGCAGCTGCCCTTGTGGGACATTGTGTTTTTGGCTCCGGTTGGTGGAAATGTTTCCCACGTGCTTCCCAGTGTTTACAGAGCAAGGCTGGGAATGCAGCCTGTGGCAGAGGAAGGCGGCCTGGCAGGGCCCAGCCACTGGGGTCTGGCAAGAATGGCACGTCCAAATCGGAAATGAGTGCCAGGCCAGGGGTGGGCTGGGCTGAGGAGGCATCCGTAGCCTGCTCCCTGTGGCGGGAAGTGTGTTGGAGAGGAGTGACCAGCACCCAGGCCAGCCCAGCCCAGCTATTGGCAGAAGCCCTGGGTGGGACTTCGCAGTCTGTGGAACCAGAAGGCCCCAGGAAATGGGTGGGTGACCACGCCCTCTCCTGCATTTGGCCTCCTCAGCAGCACTGCTGAGCTTTCTCAGCCCAGGTCCCCACCTGCCTGGGTCCCTTGCCTGGAGGAGCCTGTGCCTGGCTGTTCAGGGCTGCAGGCAGCTGAGCCCCACAGTGTCTGCAGCAGGCTCACTTCCTGGCCTGGGAGGCCTGGCGGAGGTGGACATGTTGTTGCCGTGGCTGCACTTCCCGGTCCAGCTGCTCCTTCAGGCTGGCCATCTGGGGACAGCCAGGAGCCTGGTCAGGTGGGGCAGGTGGTATGTGGCTAGGGCCCCTGAGCATGGTGTAGAGGGCTATGTGCTGGGAGGGCTGGGACGAGGCTTGTGTGGGAGAGAAATGCCAGGACAGGCTGAGCAGCAACCAGAGGGGATGCAGGGGCCCCCTCACCATGAGTGCCACCAGTGGCATCTTGGGGACAGAGGCCACTGCCCCCCCCCACAGTGGTCCATGCAGACCCTGAGACACTGTGACAGGGAAGTAAAACATAGCTGGAGGCTCAGGGATGGTGACAGGCTGGTCCTAGCAGTGTCTGGGCCTCCATTTCCTTGTCTGTAAGGCAGGGTTCTGAACATAGGGCTCTGAGGTCTGGCATCTCCGAGCCCTACGGTTTGGCCAGGCAGGCGTGCTGTGTGTGCATGTGTGTGGTGCCATGCTCTCTCATGCCCGAGGCCCTGTGTGCACCCTCACCCGGTAACTGTGCCCGCATGAGTGACTGAAGGACCGAGGCTCAGCTGTGGGTTCCCAGTCCCCTGTCCTTCATACAGCCCCCTCCAGCCACCCGACTCTGTGGACAGGGACAGTGCCCAGAGAGTGTGGTGAGTGCCCTGGAAGTCATGCCCACCTCCCTCCCAGGTGTGGGACAGATGCAGCCCTGAGAGGGCAGTGGGACAGGGTGGCCAAGATGTGGTCCCCTGGCTTGGCCCTGACCTACCTGCTCCTCCAGCCCTTTCATCCGCCGCTGGTGGGTCTGCTCTCGGGATGCCAGGGTCCGTGTGGACTGCAGCTGGGCCTGCAGCAAGAGGATGGGCCCCCCATTGCCTCTGTGATGGAGGGCTGCCTGGGGGTCCTCCCTGTCCACGGAAGCTGTTCCCTTCCTGGCCCTGCTGGAGCCCTGGCCTGGCCCGTGACAGGCAGCAGAGATGGGCTCAGCACACACTTGGCACATGGCCTGGGTTGGAGCCACCAGCCAGATCCAAGCCATGGCCTTGGGGTGTGGAGTCTATTTGGGGCACCCACTTCCCCGCTGGCCCTGCTGGGGTCCTGTGGGCCTTGAAGGGAACATTTGCATGTTCCCTCCCCCAGGTTCTTGTTTAGATGAGTCTGGCAATAGGCAGGGGAGCGCCACATGTGGTGTCAGCCCTGGCCTGGGGGACCCTTCAGTCTGTGTGCCTCATGGGCTTGCCTGGCTCACAGGGTCCCTCACAGTCCCCACAAGGCCACAGAGACTTCAGTGTTTCAGGAGGGCAGGGGCCCTGGAAAAAACCCAGGTGTGACCCCAGGTAGCCCCCAAAGCTGCATCCTTCCCACGTGCCACACGGGACTCATGCATGCTGGAGCCAGAGTGCCACGCGCTGGCCATCTTACCTGCAGCTTCTGGTTCTAACACAGGGCCCCATCCACCTCCTGGTGCAGGCTACTCAGGGACTGACCCAGCTGCCCTTTCTCAGTGGCTGGCTCCTCCTGCTCTGTCTGCAGAGCAGGGAGGACTTGTGGGGGGCTGCAGTGGGCTCCCAGCAGGGCCCTGAGGTCTGGCCATCCTGCTCTTGGGGAGCCCGAGTGCCCCTGGGAAGGGCTTTGAGCCCCTGCACCTGGTGGGATTGGCAAGAGCACTGCCTGTTAAGGGTCCAGGTCTGCAGCCAGAGTGGGAGCTCAGAGCAGGGCGAGGAGCTCACAGAGACCCTCTCTCCAGGTGGGGGGCACAGGAAGCCTCGGCTCCTGCAGTGCCCTCGCCTTCGGCAGAGTCCTCCTGCTGAGGCACACAGGCCCCAGTGCACATGCCAGCCCCATCCCAGTGAGCCTGCAGCAGTGGCATCACCTTCCTTGGGTGCAGAAGTCCTCAGCCACAGGTGGTGGGCTCAATACCAGGAAGCAACCACTCCCCAAGTGCAGCCGGTGGGCTCTGTGACCCTATGCCTCACCCTCGGGAGGAATCCACTGGATCTGGATTCTCTCACTTGTGTGGAGGTGACCCAGAAGAGGAGCCCTGCCTACAGCCCCAGGAGCCTGGGCATCCTGCTGTGCCACTTCACAAGCTCACCAGTCCCAGGTGGGCACGAAGCCAGGCCTGGCACTAAGTCCTGCTCACTGTGGTGTGGTGCCCACCCTGCCTTCCGCCTGCTGCAACCAGGAATGTTCTCGGGCAGGGGCAGCGGCCTGGAAGGCCTCCTTCAGGGCTGGGTGGACCTGCACTTCTGCTTGTGCCTGGGTCCTGGACAGGGTGGGTTTGCACCAGCAAAGTTACGGGGTCAGTAGCCCACATTTTACAAAACTGAGAACTGCTTTCTCCCAGACCAGAAAAACAAAGAGCTCCCTTCCACTGGAAAAGGAGCCTGTTTCTTTAAAAATCCAGTTACACTCTTGGAGGTACATGTTATAAAGAGAAGAGAAAAGTGAAATCCAAAATAAATAAATGGCCACATCCGGGTTTCCCCTCCTGAGACACCAATAAAGGGTTTATGGGCTGCGGGCCCCGCACAGCTGACCTCCTGGAACTCATTAGCTGTTCCCGCCCTCCCCCACAGGCCTCAGGGACCCGGGTCAGGCACAGTGCCCACAGCGGACATCGAAGCTGGGATGGACACACAACCCTCTTGCCCCGTCCAGGGCTGGGCCTGCCCCTCAGAACAGTGGCAGAAACCTGGTCATGGAGCCCCAGTGGCTACCCCTTCTTCTTGGGAAGGCAGGTGGCCTTTGGGGACAGCTGGCCGGTGGCTTTCGTGACTGTCTTGGTCAGCTGGCCTCCATCCCCAGGGTGGGTGGCGTCATGGCAGTGGGGAAGCCGTGGGAATTCGCCCTGCTCTGGGCCCTCCAGGCCCCTTGCACCCCGTGCACTGCCACTGCCACTTCCCTGTTTTGCCCCTCAGGCCAGTACTGGCTGCCAGGGTCCAGCCACATGTCCTTCCTGCCTGTCCCATTGCCCGGCTGTGTGCCTCTCCTGCAGTCCCTGACCTGGCCTGCAGCCATGGCCACTGAAGGGGCTGGGAGGTCTCTGAACACAGGGCCCAAGCACCCAGAAGGGAACAGAGAGTGCGGGCTGGCGGGACTTTATGCCTCCCCACAGGAGAGGCCTGGTGTCTGCAGAAGCAGGGTCTGGGAAAAGCACATTTCTCTGCTACAATGTGCATCCCAGGAGACCCCCTTGTCATGAGGGCGTTACTGTGGGGCAAGGAACCAGCCCTGGGCCTCCCTGGAAGTGCCCAGCCTCGGTTTCCCCACTGCCAGCTGGAAACTGGATGCTGGGCAGATCAGGTCTGCATGCACATCTCCAGCACCTGCCCAGGCCTCCTCCCCATGGGCAGCCTCACTGCACGTACCTGCCCTGCCCTGCCCACCCTGCCCTGCCCACACTGCCCTCACCTCCACCAGGGGGCCTCGCTGTTGCAGTCGCTGCCCCTTCCCCATTAGGCCCAGGCTGTGCCTCCTGTGCTCTTCGAGGGCCTGCTGCAGCATGTCCAGTTGCTCCTGGGGAAGGGGGACACAGGGCTGCCTGGAGTTGTGGGTGGGGGACACAGGCCATCTACCTAGACTGGGATTTCTGTGGGCAGGATGGCTGGGAGTGGAGAAGCAAGAATGTGGTCAGGGATAGGGTCACTGTACTGATTAGCTGGTCTGCACAGCCAGGTGTGGTGGTGCATGTCTGTTATCCCTGGACTCTGGGAGGTTGAGGGAGGAAGAAGGAAAGTTTGAGCCCAGCCTGGGCAACTTATGGAGACCCTGTCTCACAGTTAAAAATAGAAAGGACTGGAGATATAGCTCATTGTGTAGGGCCTGGTTCCCATCCCAATACACACAAAAAAAGCCATCTTGTGCCCCTAACATACTGTGAAGGTGTTTGGACTCCAGGAAGCTGGCGCTGGGAGTCAGGGTCAGGAGGCCTGGTATGGGCAGTGGATGGGCCACAGGTCTCCAGAGCTGTCTTGGGAGATGCATGGCACATGCGCCCCTGCTCTCAGCCCTTGGAGTGAAGCCCGCCAGGCTCTCCAGGCTCACAGGGCCAGTGAGGCTCAGCCTCGCCTGCTCTCCTCTCTGCCTTAGTGTCCTCCTGGCCCAGGTGCCCTCCCTATCCCACAGGTGGCCTGGACACCGCTGATCCGAGCCTCTCAGGCACTGGGATGTCTGGTACAGACTGCGGCAGGTCTGGGGTCATCTACAGAGACAGAAGGTGGACAGAGAGGTGTGGAAGAGCTTAGGCCCGAGGCCCAGGCACTGCTGGCCAGGAGAGCCCAGGGCCAGCCATGGGGAGGACAGAGGAAGAAAAGGAGCCGGCAGCCCAGTGTGGAGGGTGTGCAATCCTGGGAGATCAGACCTCAAGGCACAGGGGACACAGACCCAAAGGACCTGGAGGAGGGCAGTGACCTCTGCAGCGAGCAGAGGGTGTGGGGACAGGATCCAGGGTGGGCACAGGGTGGGCAGGGAAGCAGGGTATAGGGTTCAGGCCCCAAAGAGGCAGAACCTGCCCTGGCAGCACTGGGCCTTTGAGGCTTCCCAGCTCCCTCCTGACGGTAACCAACCACTGGAACTGATGCTCTTGGCTGCTGAGGAGGACGGAGGCAGGCAGGGGTAATAGGGCCTCTAGCACCAGGCTGGGTGAGGGGAAGCCTGGGTGGGCTCCCAAAACATTCTCTAAAATACCTGACATATTATTACTTGCAGCAAGAAAAAGGAGGACCATATTTTACTCTTCTGTGCAAGTTTGAAAATTACAGTTTTTTATTGCTATACATTTTCCAGTAGAAAAGAAGATGTTTCCTTCAAATGTGGCTTAAATATTTCATGGTAGTTTTAAGAGGCCCCAAACCAGTTACACGAAGCATCATGATCCTCTGTAATGACTAGAATTTATGGAATTCAAATTAACCATCATAATTGAGCGATTCACCCTGCAGGGCACCCTTGGCCCCGCTGAGTGGGTGGCTCTGTGCCTGTCCCTTTGGCTCCCAGTCCTGACCCTGAGCAAGAGGCAGATGGGCAAAGCTGCTTCTCAGTCTGCTCCAGCCTGGGGGCTTAAGCAGCTGCAGGAAAAAGGGAGTCCCAGCCTTGCTCCAAGCTCAGTGCCAGCACCTAGGGTGCTAGGGCTCCCTCTGGGAGCCTGAGGGGAGGAGTTAGGCTTGGCCCAGGAGCGTTCTGGCCTCGGTCTCCCTGTCTACACCATGGGCGTGCTATAGTCCCTGAGGGCTCTTGTGGGGACTGAGAAGGATGGGAAGACAGTGGGGGTAGCTGACAGCCCCAAGATATCCCAGGAGGCCGTGCAAATGAGGATGTACTTTCCATGGACCCACCCTGGGTGGAGGCTAGGCTGGCCTCAAGCATAGCCAGGACAGAGATGTCCTTCAATGCCCCTTGGCTGCATGAGGAAGGGCAGGAGAGACCACCAATGGCCTGAATCCATCCCCTGGTCCTCAGTGCAATGTCTCTGTATCCACCAGTGACAAGGCCAGTCCCATCGTGGGCGAGATCCTGTTCCTACCCAGATGCCACAGACAGAACCCGGTCCAGGAAGCCCTCAGGTGCAGGGTTAAACCTCAGTTTACTCAGTGGGGGTCCAGGGTGTGGAACTGGTTTATAGCAGGCAGGCCTCTGGACTCTGCTGTCCACACCTCTGTCCACTGTGTGCTGTAACCAGCTCCACTGTTCTTTAAGTTTCCTGCCCGATCACTAACATCTATTCTCCCTGTGCACGGCAATCAGCTGACCACCTTCCCTCTAAACACACCACAGACAAATAGACAAAACCAAACCAAAACAGTGGGCAGCAGGCGGCCAGCTGAGATTCCCTGGGGGGAGCCACTTAAGAGCACTGGGAGGAAACTGTCCCTAGGGCCAGGCAGGAGCAGAGAAGCAGAGCAACGTTCTCTTTGGCTGACCTCAGACTGAGGAAGAGGTGCAAACAGACCTTCCCAGAAAACTGGTAGAAAGGAAAAGACTTCATATCGAAAACCTATGGTACATATATAAAACCGAAGTTAGGGAAAATTTGATAACATTAAATGCTCTTAGGACTAAAAGAGAAATTGAAACATGAATGAGTCTCTTATCCATTAAGAAATTAGAAAAAAGACAACAAAAAGAGAAAGTTGCAGAGAGAGCAACTGAAATGAGCAATCCAGACAAAAACATGAGACTGTGAGCACATCAGAGCGAGGACAACAAGACACTGCCAGTCAGGGCAGACGGGATGGTGATGGCTGACGGAGAACAGGGCAGCCGTGGATGACCTCCAGTCCACAGAGTGAAGTGGGCCATGTGACATCCGTGGCAATGCACTTACACGCAGTTGACAGCTTCCTCCGGAAAGACCAGCCCTGACCCAGGTGGAGATGGGAAAGAGTGCCGAGGGGGATCTGAGAGAGAGCCCCAGTGTGCTGTATAGGACAACAGGAGCTCCGCAGAGTTCACGGCATAGTTCTGTTCATCATGGAAAGAGTTAATTCCTGTAGGACTGGAACTATCCAGGTGACAGACAGAGAAGCAAGCTTATGGATTTATTTCCTATCCCTAAGAAACATTCTTAGCCCTAAGAAATCTGAGAACTGTGGCACATGAAGGAATTATGGGGAGTAAACATTCTCAACTAAACAGGATGAATTGATACCACTTAGGCCCCAGCACAGGCCCAGGGTGTGAGTGTCCCCAGGCCAGGTGATTCACTGTGGCTTTGCCTGTGGACTCTGGGTGAGGGATAGGCTGACAGCTGGATGACAGAGCTTGTGGGGCTCAGTAAGCTGGGCACAGGGCAGGGAAGGGGCTGGCGGGAGTCCAGGGACACAGAGGCCCTGTGAGCTGCTGGCTGTGACCAGGCACCCGTCTGTGGGCACATGGGTGGCCTCTGGGGGCATGGAGGGTGTGTGGGGCACAGCTGGGTGGGAACCAGGCCTGCCCTGCATGGAGCCCGGCCAGCTGCATGTGCCCTGGCGGTGCTGGGCGCGTGTCCCCGTGGCTGGCTAAGCGATGTTGCTCTGCTGGGTCCCAGGTTGCCCTGGCAACAGGGAGCTCTAAACAAGAGTTGCACTGTTCACACAGCACAGCCTACCATTTAATTAGAAAAATATGTTTTTAATTAACTTTCTCTTGACAAGCATGTTGGCTGATGTGAAATGGGGAAGCAGACCTTGAAAATGAAAGAAGTTTCATGGAGGGCAGAGCTCGCTCTGGATTATCCTGGGATTTCGGGGGTCTTGGGGGACCCAGGGCCAGGCCTGCCCTGCTGCCCACTAGCATGGCTGCAGTGTGACCATGTCTCCAACCCCAGCCTGCTGGGGACACTGGGCCCTGCTTTCTGGCCTGGGCTTATCAGAGGTGGGGGTCTCAGGAAGATGGCCACATGGCTGTACCTGAACCCCAGACACCCTCCACAGGGACCAACAAGTTACAAAGACTGGGAGACTCTCAGAGCTGCAGACCAGGGCTCTGAGGGTCCTCAGCAGCAGGTGGAACTAACTGGCCCCTACAGAGGACAAATGGTACTTGCCAGAATTCCAAGAAAGAAGTGACAGAATACAGAGAGGGTTTAGCACACCTCACTAAACAAACAAGTAAATTCTGCAGGTAGCAAAGGATATCTAGAGCAGCCTGTTCACCTGCCAGGGGGCCCCCAGTACCCCTGGCAGCTGGGCCAGGAAGGCAGGCAGCTCTGGCCCTCAGGGCCTGACAGAAGTTTCTGGGCTGAGAACCAGAGGCCCCCAGACCCTGGATACAGGCTGAGGACTCTTGCTCTGTCCTTTGGGCTTGGAATAGGGGACAGGACCAGTCAAGTCCAGATGGCTCCTTCCCATCCCAACTGTGACCAGGATCAGAACACCCTGAGTTACAGAGTGGCTAGGGAAAAGCACCACAGAAGAAGTGGTGGTTGGAGGAGGCAGATCTGAGAGTCTCTAATCAAAGGAGAGCTGTTAACAGAAGTGGGAGCAGACATTCTCAGGGTCAAAGTGGACAATCAGAGAAAAGCAATTGGGTACCAAGAAAGGACCTGGAAAAAGCCATCTAGACGCAGCTGATAGCGAAGAAGCTGCACAGGATTAAAGCAGAGTCCTCTCCAACCTGGGAGATGGGGGAGAAGGAGAAACATGAGGCAGACCGGAAGCACAGGCCTGGGGGTCAGATCTGGAGGGTGGGAATTCCAGGATCAAAGTTGAGGGGCGGGAGCAGAAGGGGGGTTCTGAGGAAGAAGTCCATCCTCAGGCCTGCAGGGAAAGGGCGCCCTGTGCTGGCCACAATTCCTCTGAGAGCCAATACGAAAGCAACACCTGGATGACATTTCTGAATTTCAGGCAAGTGGGCCTCTTACTACCATTTTGCAAAGAAAAGAGCACTGACAAGGAAAAGAACCAACAAAATCCCCTCTTTTCTTTTTTTCTTCTCCTGGCTGACTGTGTGCCCTGGACCAAGACCTCAATTTCTCAATCTGTGAAGCTGGGGCTGGGACCACCTCACAGTCATCCAGCAGGGATGGCCCCCTGCTCTGATGGCCTCCAGCTGCCTGGTCCCACACAGCCTGCATCTCATGCCAGCAGGGAACCTTCTTACCCACCGAGCCTCAGCCCCTGACCTTGCCACCCTGTGGCCCCTTCAGGTCCCCACCTGCTGCTGCCGCCTGTCCTGGGCTGCCGCCCGCATGCTGGCCAAGTGCTCCGTCTCCAGCTTCAAGAGTGCCTCCTTCTGCAGGTCCTGCGCCATTTGGGCACTGCCCAGAGCCCCCTCTGCCTGGCGCCGGCCTGGAGGACAGAGCTGCAGTCACAGGCAGCTGCTGGCAGGGGCCTGGCTCTGTGCTTCCAGCCTCCCGCCCTTCTCTCCACCATCTTTCTGACCCGTGCCGACTCTAAGCAGGGCAGTGGGTGTAGGACGTGGGGGAGGCAGGCAGGGACCTCTCTGGGAAGATCACAGAGATGGGGTCCCAAAAGGGGGTGAGTGCATGGCTACCTGGGAGGAGGGTGCCAGGTGGTGGGCAGTCGGGCAGTCAGTGCTGGGGACAGGTTCCATGCCCAGCAGTTCTGGGTGTGGGGGTGCTGAGCAGCCTGGGAACTGGTCAGGGTGCTGTCCCCACCCACCCCAGAGTCCTCCTCAGACCCTGCACTGTGGCAGGCAGGGGAGGGGCTGGTGGCCCTCACAGGGCGGAAGGTTACCTTCCTCAGCCTTGGCCAGTGCCCTCTGCAGCTGCCATACGTGGCCCTGGGCTTGGGCACACTCACGCTCCGCCACACTCAGCCGGCCACTGAGGCTGGTCACCTGGACGCGGCAGTTGTCCTGGCGGAGGGATTCCATTCAGCAGGCTTCAGGAGGCGAGGTAGCCCTGGGGTTGTCTGAGCCAACCTCTGGGCCAGGACAGGGCACAGAGGGGCTGGAGAGGGCTGGACGGGGCTGGAGAGTACAGGTTGGGGTAGCAGGGGCACAGTGCATGGGTCTGGATCAGGCAGGAGCCGCCAGCCAGCACACAGAGTGGGGGCCTGAAAGTGCCAGGGGAGCAGCAGGCAGTGCTCTGGGATTGTCCCTCTCTTCTGAGGTGCTGCTCGGAGGGTACTGCCTCGAGTCTCTGGGGGAGTCCTGGGCCAGAAGCCCAGGGGAGCAGCCACTAGGACTGTCCCTGAGCACAGCCTCTGTGAGTGAGCTGGCCAGAGTCCTAGCCTCTGGAAAGAACTAGTTCCTAGACGATGGCATGGGATGCATCAGGGACAGGATGGCTGACTGCCGAGGGAGACCCTCTGATTGGAGGGATGGCAGGGATGCTGGCATTTGTTACCACGAAAAGAAGGCAGTCTGGACACTGTCCCATAGGGCCCACCAGGGTCTCAGCAGGCTTAGGATGGACAGACAGAAGGATATTGGTCTGAGAGAAGGGCTGTTCTCTTCCCTATGTTCTGCCCCATGGCCCAGGCCTGTGGGGGTGAGGAGGACCCTGGCTGGCCTCACCTGCTCCCGCTGGGCATCCCGAAACTTCTGAACAAAGTCTCCCAGGGCGTCCTGCACAGAGGCTATGTCCATGACCTCTGGGCTGTGGTCTTCAGGAGCAGGTGACAGCCGTGGAGAGTGGGGCCTGGCGGGGATGCTGGCACTCTGCTGCTCAGGGTGAACCTGGGAGCTGTTGGAGCCTGCAGGAAGGGACAGCAGAGGGGACCTGGGCAGAGATGTGGTGGCAGACACAGGGTGCCACCCCTTCTCCATGCTGCAAAAGGCTCTGAGGAGGGTCCTTTCCTTCCTGTGTGGGTCAGGCTGGGGAGCCTGGTCAGGGACACAGCTGACCTCTTGCTGGGGAGCCAGAGTGCTGTGGGGAGACCACTGGGCTCTGTCCCCAGAGCCCCAGGCCATGGCGCAGCACAGAGCACAGCTGGTCCAGCTGGGTATTTGCATGCCGCCGGGCGGCCTGGGCCCAGGTCAGCTCTTGCTCCAGACTGTGCACCAGGATGCAGGCATTGTCCAGGCGGCCCTGGAGTTTGTCAGCCCGGCTGCTGGCCTGCTGCAGCCTCCTGGTGACACCGCGCAGCTCAGCCTGCAGGGTGTGCTCGGCCCCTCGGTGCTCTGACAGCAGCCCCTCCAGCTGCCTGGCCTGGGCCTCGCCTGCAGCCTTGACCTCTGCCAGCTTTCGCTGCAGTCCCAGGACCTGTGGGAAGGGGGCAGCTCAGATGGAGGCTCTGTACACTTAGGGGGATGGCTGGGGGCAGCAGGGACCCTCCCCCAGCCCCTACCCCGAAGTCCACAGTGGGACAGGATGTCACATCTGCCTCCCAGGCAGGTTGTGTAGGTGAGGATGCACCCAGGACAGCAGGGGCGTCAGCAGCTGGGGCAGCGCTGAGGGCCACGGTGGGGACAGCGGAGGGTGTGGGAGCGGGATGAGTGAGGGTGCCTTGCCACACAGTATGTGGTGCCCCTTAGGGCAGGACTTTTCTAAGCATGTCTTACAGCTATTACTGGGGCCCACCCCAGCTGCACAAGGTCACTTTGGCTCACGGGTGTGGGGAGACCCACAAGTACCCATGGGGGAAGAAGTGAGACCCTGGGGCCCCTGGCATGGCACCACTCAGCTGTCTGCTGGCAGGCCTGGCTGCCCCAAGTACAGCCCATACCTCCTATGGGGGGAACCGGCCAGTGGTCCTACCTCCTTCTGGGCACCCTTGTGAGCAGCCTCAGCCTCTGCCACCTGTCTCTGCAGCTGCAGCGCCTCCTGCTGGCTCCGTTGCTGTCGCTGGGCATCCTGCAAGCACCGGGCCTGCAGCATGCTCACCTCTCTGTTCTGCCTCTGCTTCTCAGCCTCCAGCATCCTCACCTTGAGTGTGGGGGGAGCTATGGCAGGAGCTGCCCCCTTCTGCCTCCTTCTTGTGGCCTTGGGCTTAGTGGGACCAGGGCAGGGCTTTGGTGTTCCCACCACCTCCTTTCTGGGGCAGGGACACTCAGTGGAGCTGGACCTGGGTCTGAGGTGCTGCATCACCTGGCCCTCACCAGTCAGCCACCCGCAGGGCAGGAGCAGAAATTTGCACCCAGAACACACTCTCCAGTGGCACTGGTTGGCCTGAGGACCCCCTCAAAGCCCTTACCTGTCTGCGATGCTCCTGCAGCTCCTGATGGGCCTCCCCCTGCGACCACGCCAGGGCCTGCACCCTGGCCCGTAGCTTGCTGGTCTCCTCCTGGGCTGCCACCCGGACCTTGTCCAGCACTCGCAGCTTCTGCTCCTTGGTCTGCTTTAAACTGAGCAGGCAGCACAGGCTGGCTGGGCTCCCAGGGTCGCACTTCCCTGAAACACTCACAGCTGCCCGACAGGTCGGACCTCCCCAGCAAAACCAGTCCAGGGCCAGCCTCTGTAGGGCTCCCTGTCCCCTCTAGAACATTTGCATCCTGGTTCCTGTGGCCAGTGTGGCCCTGTCCAGAGCACTGCCCACCTCTTCAGCCCTTTTCAGTCTACCTGCTTCCCTTCTCCTGCCTTCCAGCCACCCAGAGACCCTCTGTCTGGCCCCAGCCTGCTGTGCAGCTGGCAGGGGTTTCATGGAGACCTGGCCAGGCCCCAGCCCCTCAGCTTTCCAGCCCAACCCAGTCTCTCATGGGCCCTGTGTGGCCATCTGACTGCTGCACAGGACTGTTTGAGGGCAGGGATGGCCTCCTGTACCTCTCCTCCATCTGTCCAGTCCAGCTGCCCAGGGCTCCCCTTGTCCCCTGCCTCACCCTGCTGTACCTTGCCTTGTCCTGCTCAGCCCTATGGAGGGCGGCCCGCAGCTCAGCGTTGGAGTGTTGCAGTGCATCCTTCTCCCGGGCCTGGGTGCCCAGCGCCTGGTGAGCTTCCAGGGCCTCCCTGCGCAGCCCCTTGAGGCTTTCCTCACTGCCCTGCAGTTCCAGGTGAAGCCTGGCCAGTGCTTCCTGGGCCCAATTTAGCTGGGCCTGCATTCTCCGCCTTTGAGCTTCCAGGGCCTCCCTGCGCAGCCCCTTGAGGCTTTCCTCACTGCCCTGCAGTTCCAGGTGAAGCCTGGCCAGTGCTTCCTGGGCCCAATTTAGCTGGGCCTGCAGCTTCTCAGCCTGGGGGTGGGGAGTGATAATGAGTGGGGGGCTGGGGGGGTGGCACGTTGCCAGGACCCTGGCCTGGAGGTCACTGGCATCTCACCCAGACTCAGGTCCCAGCACAGGAGGAGTGGGCCACAAGCCTCATTCACCCTGAACATCGGCCCTCCATGCCACTGCTGAGGCTGTGAGACAGCCCCTCCTGGCCTGGCCCTGTCTGGTGTCCCCCTTGGGCTCTAGGACACACTGCCAGTGGTGAGCAGGGACTGCTGGGCACAGGTGTGTCCATATATTGGCACCATTCTCCTGCATCCAGCCACCACCTCCTGACAACCTTTCCTCCTTCTGGCCTCGTGCCGTGTCTCCCCTATGGCCACTGCCTGTCCTTGTGGGCTTGGGACTGGCCCTGAATACTGTCAACTGACTGCCCCGGGTCTCCTTCTTCTCATGCCCATCTGTTTATTTTTGAGACAGGGTCTCGCTATACAGTTCAGGCTGGCCTTGAACTCACCATGATCCCCCCTGTCTTAGCCTCCCAAATGCTGGGATTACAGGCGTGTGCCACCACTCCCGGATCCAGTCCCATCTATGTGGGACATAGTCTAGCACCTGAGCCTTGGAATCCTCTGCACGCTGGGGCCACTTAGGTCAGGCCACCCAGCTGCAGGACACTGCCCCATCCCAGGAGCCCTCCATGAGGCTCAGCCCACAGTGCAAGGACCTTCCAGGCCAGGGCAGGAGGCCCAGAGTGGGTGGGTGCACCCAGGAGCCCACACAGCCAATGCCCCACCCCTCCTGGCCTGGGCTGCTCCACCCCTGAGAGTCACCCCAAGGAGGACAAGAGGCCACAGTGAGTCCTTATCCCCTGCCCAGGCCAGCCCAGGCTGAGCCCACTCTTGGTCCCTGTCCTGGGACAGCAGGGGTCGTGGGCACTGAGTTCTATGGGGCCCAAGAGGAGACTCTGGTGGGGAGGCAGCCTGGCAGGCTCAGGCCTGGGTGGGGGCAGCCCTGTCCTGGCTGCTGGCTCTTGTGTCCTCCGGGAGTAGAGGAGCCTGTAGGGCACCGGGATCGACGTCAGGCTGCTGCTTGCCAAAAGCAGACCCTCTTTGCTGGCTGTTTTCATGGGATGCTGGCCAGGGCCCTGGCCGGCCTGGCTCCGAGTAGGCCGCTGTCATTGTTGTTCTGTTTTGGGGGAGGGCCCAGGCCTCCCTTGTTCCCCCTGCCCCCCACATGTGGGAGCCACAACCATGCGGAGCATTTTCCGCGAGCTCAGCAGAAATCCATCCAGAAGGTCAAGGACCAGCACAAGGGCCAATCCATCATAAAAGCAGCTCTTTCCATTTCCCAGGGCAGAGGAGATGAAAACAAGCAAAACAGTCAGGGAGGCCCCCAGCCCTGGCCGGCGCCCCACCCTGGCCTCAGGAGAACATGCTTCTCTTTACAGGAATTTTACAGCCAGATCGCTTAATGTGATTATAATAATTATTTCTTTACTAGAAATTGTATAAAAAAAAATTTTTTTTGAAATCTGCAGGGAGGCAGCTCCAGCTCTCCATGGGGGGAGGACAACAAAGGAGACAGGGAGGGCTGCTGGGGCCAGCCTGTGTGCACACGGGTACTTACGTGTGCACATGTGTGTGCATATCCACGTGGAAGCATGTTGTATGGGGTTGTGTGTGCAAGTGTGAGCATGTGCAGTATGTGTGATATGTGCACTCACACGCATAATGGGTGTGCATGTCTGTGTGCATGCCTGCCAGCCTGCCAGTCAACTTCACACATGTGTTTCATGGTGCCCACCTGTGGCTACATATGTGAATTCACTGTTGTGCCTGTGAGGAGTCCAGCATGCAAGGATGGCTGTGGGTGTGCAGGCATGTGTGCTCTTCAACTGGCGCAAAGAGTATGCATGTATGCACACATGTGAATGGTGTCTGTGCACGGGCTAGTGAGTGTGTGCATGCACACCTGTAGGCACCTCAGGTAGGGCTGCAAGAGCCTGAGGTTCCACCAGTTTAAAAACTTAAAAAAAAAAAAAAAGGCATGGTTTCCGCGGCAACACTGGGCCAGCCTGGTGCCTGGGCAGACTCTTCTGCCTGGTCTCTCTGCAATTTGTCTCTTAAGTTCCTCTCCTCTTCAGCCTCCTGTCACTCCCTCTCCCCTTTCCGGGGGCCCTTTCCTTTCTGGAGTCTCCACTCCCTGTCTGGGGGCTGCCCTGCTGTGAGGCCTGTGCCCCCCCCCAGGACAAAGTGCCTCCCTCCTGCTGCCCCCAGTTCTGAAGTCTCACTTTGCTTCCCATGTGGCCACAACTGGCCTGCCTTTGAAATCTGCTGGAGGGAGTCCTTCCTCTCTGGGGCCAAGGTAAACAGCCTGTCATGTTAAATCACACCCGCTTCTTCTCCCTGCTCTGCTGGCTGTGGGCTGTGCCTGGGGAGCTGCACCCGCCTCAGTCTGTGCTTCAGCCCTTGGCACACAGCCCACCTTGTCCCTGTAGGTCCCATGACCCCTCCTGCAGCCTGAATCTGCATGCCCTCCTGCCCCAGCCTCCCACAGGGGCCCCTGTCCTACCCAAGGCCATCAGGAACCCCTTCCACTCGCCTGGCCTCACGGTCCCGCTCCCCTACCCACACTGTCTTCCCATCACTGCCACTCGACTTCCGGCCTCTGGGTCACCACCAGGGCTCTGCCAAGCCCATGACTTCCTGGAAATCTCATTCTTGTCACCTCTTCTCCAGCCCTTCCAGCCAGGCCGTACTCAGCAGCATCCTACCTGGGACTCTACCCGTCATGGGAGACAATTGTTGGTGATGCCAGGTCTCCCCCATGCCAGGGCACGGCCTCCCCCACTCCTGGTTTCTGACCTTGTAGGAGAGGTTACCTTCTCTGAGCTGCCCCTGGGCAGCTGGTCCCTGACATCCCACCAGGAGCCCAGTCCTTCTGTGCCCGGCACGTGCACCCACCCAAAGCAGCCCTCAGAGCCACTCCGTCTCAGCCATGACCCACTCAGCCCACTTCCTCCGAACTTCACACCCTCTTCTCCCTCTGCTGTGGATGGCTGGAACTGGGGGTCAGGGGCTCTTGGGGAGGGCCGTGTGGGTGGGTATCAGGTCCCTACCCTGGCTTCCTCCTCACCCGGCTCTGCCCCAGTCTGGCACCTTCTCCTCAGTGTCTTGTGCCTCTACACCTGGTGCTGCCCCTACCTCTCTCTGCATGTCTCTCTGCTGGGCTGCTGTCTCCCTGAGGCTCTCTTTCAGCTCCGCCACCTCTTGCTGATGGGCAGAGACAGCGCCCTCAAACTGGGCCCGCGAGGTCCTCAGCTCCTCTGTCAGGGTACAGATGGTGACCTAGGGTGGCAGTGACCCATAAGGGCATTGCTGTGGGGCAGAGGCAGGTGGGGGGTCCCCCACCCTGAGAAGGGGTGGTGTTCCTGGCTCCCAGGTCCTCACTCAGGACTTCTCCTTTGGGTCCCCAAGCTGCTGGACCAGCGTAGGCAGGCAGCAGGGCCTAGTGGGGGCCCAAGCACTGACCCTTTTCCTGCTTGAAGCTCCTGTCTAGCCATTCAGCTCAGCTGAGTGGGGAAGGGGCAGGGACAGCCCTTTGGCATGCGAATGACCTGACCCTCGATAACCCTGGAACTTCAGTGGCACATGGGCCTCTGAGGAGCCCCCAGGTTCTGCAGCTTCCCCTGTGGCCAGTGTAGGGTGGGGTGCACCCCTCCTAGACAGGGTGCCTGTTTCCTGGCCCAGTGTGGGGGGAGGGAAGCCAGGGCCCTACTTGGCCCTCAGTGTCCCGAGCAGCCAGACAGGCAGGTGAGGTCAGAGGACATCTGGGTCTCTACTGTGACTGTCCAGGACCCTGGTCCCATTCTTCCCAGCACTGGGTGTGGCCTGTGGGGACTCAGTGGGGCCCACGCCTGTTCCTACTGCCACACCCTTCTCTACTTGCCAGGAGACACAGACTCAGGCACCTGGAAGGCTGAGCTTCTCTGCCCAACAGGCCCCACTCAGCCCACAGAGGGGCTCAAAGCCCTCTGCATCTGCAAACACTGTGAGGACCCCACACCTGGCCCCTAGTTCTGGGCCAGTGTTCTGGCTCTTGCCCCTGATGGGTGGCTAGTGGGGGACAGGCCCCTCCAGAGCTGGCACCGTGCTGGTAGGGGCATGGGTGCCATCTGGAAGTCCTCAAGCAGCCCCCTCTGTGCCGTAGGCCATGACAGGGACCCCGTATGGGGCTTCCCTAGCCCTGCTCTGCTGGTGACTGACAAATGTCACCATGTATGGCAGGTCATGGTCCTATGTATATGGCCCAGCAGGAGATTGGCTGCAGCAGTGACACAGGCCAGGAGGCCCCTTCACAGCTGGTGGCCAGCTTCCACATCGCCCCCTGGTGTTCCTTGGCCTGCTTCCCTACCCTCTCCTCTCAGCGGGTTCTAATTTCCACTTTTTGAGCTGAGGTGGCAAAAGAACCCTAATGAGCTCCCTGGGGAGCCCTGCTGGTGGGCAGGCCCGCCCCAGTCTAGGGGGCCCAGGAAGCCATGCTGGCTCCACTGAGGCTTCCCTCTCAGGCCCTGGGAGGCCTTCCTGGTTCCCTGCCTGCATGGGACAGGGAAACAACTCAGGCCTGGCAGGGCCCTTCATCCCCAGGGAGAGGCCATTCAGGTGCCAGGCATGGCTGGGGGCTGGGAGCCAGCAGGACCTCGGGGCAGGGAGGGGGCCTGGGGCTTGGGCTGTGTCACTGGGAGGGGCTGGGCACCCAACCCCTGCACCCCTTCCAACTGCAGCACCTTTCTCACTGCCCGGTGCCCTGGGAACCACCACTGGGGTGACAGAGTGGCTTCCCCTAAAGGCAGCAGAGCAGCTTCCTAGTTGGCCTGGTGTTTGTCTTGGGGACAGTGTTACTTCTTTGACAGGGACCCCAGATGGTGAGTCCCCAGGGCCTCAGTTCCCTGGCTGTTCTCTGCTACAAGTACAGAGACAGGCGCGGCTGGGCCCTGTGGCTGGGTGGCAGAGGACATGGGTCTGGGGCCGACATTCTCCCCCTCTCTGGTCCCAGCAGTCCCAGGGCAGGGTCTGGAGCACAGCCTTGCTTGCTTTGGCCTCTCCTGCCCTTAAGACAGCACCTCCTCCCAGAAAGGGAGACCTGGTGGGAAACTGAGACACAGAGAGGGGATGGACCTGACTCAGCGCAGGACTCACCTCAGCACGGGCCTGTTGGCTCTGGGCCTCCTGCTGTACCCGTTCCAGCTCCTGTGTGGCCCTGGAGAGCTCCTTGTGTAGCTGGCTCTTTTCCGTGTCCTTTGCAGACAGGGCCTGGATGTGCAGGGCTTATGAGGGTGCTGGGGAGCTGGGCCTGATCACTCGTCCCATCCCTGACAAGTCCTGCACTCTGCTCGCGTCCCTTCATGGCTGCCCTGGGCCACGCTGCCCAGAATCCTACCCCTTCCCTGCCCAGGCCTGGGTTCATGACTCCAGGCAAAGTTCTGCTCTGTGTATAGGAAGGATGGCCTTAGGCCCTCAAAACACTCATCTCTCTGGGTGAGAAGAAGAAGACACAGCAAGCTAAGGAGGACGCATCACCCCCAGCTCCTGGAGCAGCTTTGCCCTGCAAAGCCACCCCAGATGGTGGCTTTGGCAGTACCCCTCACAGCCACCTCTGCAGGACGATTTGAACTCCATCTCCTCCTGCTGTGTGTGACACTGCTGGTAATAGCTACGGGACACAGCCTAGGTATGTGGCGCCAGGAGACCACAAATGCAGATCTGCATACCCATACAGGTGGGTGCAAGTGAAGGATCTCAAAGCGCAGGACAGAGCTGTGAAGTCCTCTGGGACGCAGTGATCATAAGAGCTGTGAGAGATGTACATCCAGGAGAAACTGCACCATACTCTGAGTTCTGCATCTGGTCATTTCCTGGTCTGTGTGGCCTAATCCTCTCTGGATGCTGGGCACTGGCTGCACCATCTCCAGGGAGTGGTGGGCATGACAGCTGCTGTGCTATACTGGCGGTCCCTGGGTCAGGTCCGCTCACAGCATCTTTAGTTTACAATGGGCTTATCAGGCTGTTATCCTCCCTAAGGTGAGGGCAGTCAGCATATTTCTACTGCAGGCAGTCTGTACACTGCACAGTGGACCTGCCGTCGTGCTGGAAGGAGCTTCCTAATGGGTCTGTCTGTCATCAGTGGGCCCGACACCATGCATGGGTTCATGCTAATGGGCTGATGCAGGATGATGCCTGTGCTGACCAGCTGTGTGGCCAGAGGTACCAGCTCAGCATGGCCAATCACTGTGCTGATCTCCTGGACCCAGAGCTCAGTGGCCCTGGCTGTGGGCACAAAGATGACCTGGGAAGGTGATGTGGTGGCTCCAGAGGGGACCCAGCCTCCACTGAGCTCATCTCACTTGTCCTGATGTGTTGCCTTTGTGGGCTGAGGCACTGAGGGGTCACAGGAACCCTCACAGTTGGCATTGGTGGCCTGCAGACCCCCGGATATTTGGCTGGCATGTTATTAGGGTGGTCATATTGGAGATCTGTGCTTAGCCTGGAAGTCTGCATGAACTCTGGGGCTATCAGTGCCCTGGGCTGGGGATTTGTGTGGCTCTCCGTGTCAGAGAGGGAGTTTCTAAAAGCCATTGTGTCTGCCCACCACCTGGAGCAAGCCCATGTTCGTGCTCTGCTGAGGCCCCTGAGTTCTGCACAAATCGGCCCATCAGCCTGTGAGGTCTGAAGACCAGCGCTGTGCCTCTCCCTCTAGGGCCTCACTAGTGGGCATGACAGCAAATATTGGTTAATATTCTTGGCAAAGCTCCATGGAAGACAAAGTGTGGGTGCCCCCACTGAGGGCTTCACTCAGTCTCCGCTTGGGCCCAGCAGCCACAGAGAGTGCTGGTGACAGTCTCTGCAGAGGGGCTCAGATCTGGGCTCCACAGTTTCTTGTCCTTCTTGGGTCTGTGGAGGATGGTCCGAGGCTGAAGTCACAGCTCCCCTGGGGAAGCTGTGGACACTGCCCTGGTCCTTTCCCTTCTCTACCATTTCTCACACTGATGCCTGATGTGGGAGAGTGAGCAGAGCAGATGGGGTCCCAGAAATGTCCACCACTACGCCGTCACAGCTGCCCCTAGGCCTGGCCTTCTGTATCAACAGGCTACGATGCTTGAGTTTACAATGTGGCCCCTAAGGAGGTCACTAGAGTACGGCTCCTGTCCACCATGCAGCCTGCCCTTCTCTCTGTGGTTCCCCTCCTCAGTGTGTGGCCCTGGAAGCTGTGACTATAGACACAGGCCTTGGACCACTGTCCACATCCCCAGATGTGCTGTTCCCCAGGAGCTCTTTCTTGGTCATCTTGGGTGAGGTCCAGTGTGCCCCGGGGGTCTCCAGATCAGGTGCATCCTTCTAGGCTGGTGCTGGTTCAGACCCCAGTCTTACCCTTTCCTCCAGGCCCCAGCCTCCTGTCACCCTTGCTGCAGAAGCCTTGGCTCTGTCACCTGGGCCTGCTGTGTGAGGTGCTGCTGAGACAGACTGCCATCCCTAAAAGCTCCTCAGAGGCCCAAACTTCTTTCCTCCATTTCAGGTTGTGCAGCACTGGCAGGTAGGAACATGAGCCTCAGTGCCTGGCAGGTGCCTGATGTAGCCCAGGCAGAGGAGACATGTGTGGACCTTGGTTTTCTCACCAGTTTGGGTTGCCTATCAGCATGGGCCTCAGAGTGTCGTGAGGACCAGAGTAGAAACTGTTAGACAGTAACCCTTGGCTACTGCAGTCACCATTCCTTGCCACAACTTGTAATTTGGGCTGATACAGTCTGTGTCACATTGTGCAGTGACACATTACTGTGTTTAGTTGTCTGCTTCAGGGTGACACAGCATGCTGAAGAGACCTGGACTGAGGGTGGCCTTCCAGACCATATGAGTCTCAGCCTGTGGGATGGAAAGATGGCCAGGATGGTGGATGACAATGTGCCTAAATTGGAGATCAGTGTGGATACACTAAAGAATGGCTGTATAACTGGCCAATGAGGTGGATGGATGGAGGGCCAGATAGATGCACAGATAGATGGACAGTCAGACACATGGATGGATGGATGAGTAGGTAGTGCATGGGTAGGGGTGTGTGTGTATGGGTGTGTGGGGGTGGATGTGAAGATGGATGGGTGGGTAGATGGGTGATGTGTAGGTGGACAGATGAATGGATGGATAGGTGAGTGAGTGTAGATGGATAGTTGGATAAATGTATAAATGAATGGGTGGGTGGATCGGTGGATGGATGAGCAGGCGAGTGGATAAGTAAGTGTGAAGAGGTGTGGATCGATGGTTGAATGGACATATGGGTGGATGGATGGATAGATGGATGAGTAGGTGGGCAGATGTGTAGATAGATGGACAGTTGGGTAGATGTATGGATGGGTGGCTGTGTGGATGGTTGGATGGATATATGGAAAGATGGATGGGTCATATAGGTGGATGTGTAGATGGGTGGATAGTTGGGTAGATGTATGTATGTATGGATGTTTAGATGGATGGATAGGTAAGTGGGTGGATTTCTAGATGCATGTATGTATGTATGAACAGATGGACAAGTGGGTGGATGTGTAGATGTATGTATGTATGTATGTACAGATGGTTGGTTGGATGCATGGATGGATGGATAGGTAAGCAGGTAGATGTGTAGATGTATGTATGTACAGATGGGTGAATGGGGAGTGGATAGTTGGATAGATGTATATATTGGATGGATGTTTGGATGGATGGATAGGTGAGTGGATATGTAGATGGATGGACAGGTAGGTAGATGGATGACTAACCATCAGAACCACTGTAGAAGATCAAAGCTGCATCAGTGGTAACTTGAAAGGCTACATCTCCTGGGGAGAGGGTTATGGTGCCATGAAGCCCTTGTACAGGGTCACAGAAGACAGTGAGGTGGGCAGAAGGATCCTTTCCCTCCCATTCCATCATCACCTGCTGCATCTTGTGCTCCAGCTGGAGGAGGCTCTCATCCTGCTCCTGTTTCAGCCTCTGAATTTCTTCCTCTAGAGCCTCCCTCTCAGCTGTACATTTTGCCACCAGCTCCTTCTCTTGCTTCTGCAGGTGTGCAGCCACCTCCTTCTCCTCTGCCAGGCTCAGACTGAGAGTCTCCTGGCCATGACAAAGGACAGGCTGTGAGTTTGGAGCACAGGAGACCAGCAGGTGTCTATGGTCCCAAATAAAACTGGGCCCACAGGACACCAGGCATGGACAGTCAGGCCAACTGCTCTCCCCTTGTCTTCTCCTCAGGTCCCCAAGCAGAGGATGGGAAGGTCCTTTCTGCATCTCAGCATTTGCCATCCCACATCTTACATCCCAGGTCTTCCACTGCTCCTAACCCTCTACCATGTGCCACTGACAGGAAGGAGCATAAACATAGTCAAACAAGGCTTCTGGGGTTTGGGACCAGCAGGACAGTGCAGATGGATGCCAGAACTCCCACCCCTCTCCTCAGCCCTCACTGTTGCCAGGGCAGTGACTTCAGGCTCAACTCCAGACCCTACAAGAGCTCCAGGGAGGCCCTGTACCACCCACCTGGTCTCCAAGGTGTGAGGATGCCCTGGCTCTGCCCCCAGCCTCCAGGGCCCTCCCCCCAGGGAAGACACAGCTCTCAGAAGCATCCAGGTGGGCCCAGGGCAGGCAACCTTCTCCCTCTGGAGCCAAGCTAGGTCCTCCTGGTGCATCGTTGCCTGGCTCTCCAGGGCCAGCTTCATATTCCGCTCCTGTTGGGCCACCTGCTGCTGCAGCCGCCCCACGTCCTGCCGCAGCCTCATCTCCTGTGCCTTGCAGTTGCTCCTCAGTTGCTCCATCTCCACTGGGAAATGACGGGTAAGTCAGGGCTGGTCACAAGGCCACCTGCTGAGGCGCTCCATGGCCTTAGCATGGCCAAGGAGAGGTGACCACTTGGTCTGCCTGTGACCAGCACATGGCAGGGGCAGGGGGAGCAGGGGTGGGGGCACAGGCAAGGGTGCAGGAGACTATGGCACTGGCCCTGAGGCCACAGCCCAGTTCTAAGCCCTGGGCCAGCATGTTATAGACCAGGGTACATGAACTCTGAGCCCATGTTTGTATCCCCTGGGGCCTGGAGGAGGGAGTAGCACCTCTAGGAGCTGAACCTGAGGTCAGACTCAGCAGTGGGCAGTGAGGCAGAGCCACCAAAGGGCACCTTGCAGAATAATCCGGGCCTCCTCCAGCTGCTTCTGCTTGGCCTGCAGCTGTGCCACCAGTTGTTGGGCCTCAGAGAGGCCGCTCTCCAGACAGTCCCTCTGGGCCCTGCAGAGAGTGACAAACCAGTGTATCACCCATGTGTCCCTGCAACACAGAGCAGCATGTAGGAGCCCAGTCCAGGCTGGAGATCAGAAAACCACAGGGCACCTCATTCATGCAGAAGCTCCAAGAATGGATTGGACCCTGTGCAAAAGATATTTTTTGGGTGAATAAGAAACTAAATTCAGAAACAAAACAAAATCAATACTCACAGCTTCACAAAACTGTAAACATGTTAGAAAAAACATGAAGCATATTATGTTATCTTCTTGAGCAAGACACAAAAGCCATGCAACAAAAATAAAGAGGCCAACAGAACTGAACACATGGACAAAAGGAGGCAGAGTGTTCCTCCTGCAGAAGATTCCATAAACCAACTTCAAAGACCAGAAATAGATGTGGAAGTACAAACACATAAACAGGGCTAGCATCCATCACACACAGAAAGCCCCTACCATTCAGCGACAGGAAGTCAGCTGATCCTACAAGAGAGGAAAAGGACTGCTATTTACAAAGAAAACAGCAGGCTGAGAACAGGAAGTTCGCCAGTCTCATGGTGCCCAGGCAGAGTCAAGCCACAGCCACTGCTAGACCCGCATCCGGTCAGCAAACTCGGGGACAGGGACCAGCTCCACATTGGCAGGGACCATTTTGGGTGGGCCTGAGGGCTCCAGGTGCCAGTTCCCTAGGAGCATACGTGTGCTGACACTGACATGTGGGCTGCTCGCAGTGGCTGCTGGGGCTTTTATGAGACCCAAACAGGAGGCTGATATAGCACACGCATGGCAGGTCCCCTCTCAGGAGCCCCATGCAGTGCCTCTGTTCTCTTGCCCTGGATGGAGTCCCCAAAACAATCTGCCAGGTCAGAACTCCAAGTGGGCCCGAGTGAGGCTCTGCACACCTGCTCACACTTCTGAGAGAGCAATGAAAGGGCCTGAATTCCTGGCCCCGGACTCACCAGCGACTGCCCAGCCTTCACCCTGGGTGGGGGCATTTGTTGTCAAACACACCTAAGCAACATGTGATCACACAAGCTCTCAAATACAGACAGTGCACACACAGAGCAAATGGGGATCCCAGCAGATGGGGAAGGCTCTGGGGCCCTTGGGTCAGCCCAAGCAGCCCATCTCAGCCACCTGTGTCTCTTGGCAAGACCTGGCACCTCTGCAAGGACAGCACATCAGGACTGGGGATTCCAGGGCTCCTGATGTTTTTGGGAAGGGGTCCTCTGGGTCTGGGTCAGAACCTCTGGAGACTCTGCTTACTGCCTCATGGTGCCCCTCTACTCTAGTCTCCACCCCTGTAAGCTCAAGTGTTCCATGTTCCCACACCATGACCCTCTTCCAGCCAGGTGAGCAAAGAGCTTGGAACCAGCCTCCACCAAGATGCCACCTGTCTTGTCTCAGAGTGTCTCTCCTGCCAATCAGCCTGGAAGTCCAAGGGTGCCTCTGGTCTCTCTCCCCCTGAGCCCTCCAAGAGCATCTTCCCCGCTTCTAAGTCTGGAGGTGTAGGTCCAGCTGTTGCAGGCTGCCCAGGAGGGGTGAGCCAGTTCCAGAGTGGTATGCAGACAGGAGTCTGGTCCATTGTGCTGGCTGAAGAGGAGGCTAGCACTTTATGGACAGAGAGAGCAGTACCCCACGAGGCAGCCTCCTCAGGGCCTGGCAGCAGGGGTTCCCTTTCCTAAAGCAGACCCATGTGAGGCAGTGATCAGAGACTGTAATCAAAACCCTGGAACTCTGGCTCCCAGGATTACTACAGAGGTGTCTGGTGGATCAAGATGCATGGTGGAAGCAGCTAGGGGTCCTTGTTAGGGAAAATGTTCTTGTGTCTAGAGTGTATGCTGGCCATTTTGCCCCATCTCTATGTGAGCCTATTTAGGAATGAAATCTGAATCAAGCAATGCAGATGGAAATAGAGACAGGATTCTGAATACTATGTGAGCCTGGGTCCAGCCTTATCTGAAGACAGATTCATCCAGAACCTCAGACCCATGAGCAAGACATCCCACATCTTCCTCCTACTGGTCTGAACTAGTTTCTGCTACTTGCTCCATCTCCTCAGGAAGGTGACCCCAGGGATCTCCCTGAATGTACCTCCTTTAGATGATCTGCTATTCTGAAGACACAGCTCATCCCTCACACATGGACTGGAGACACACTTTCCCTGCCCTATATTACAGTATTGCAGTGCCTGCCTCAACCATCCAGTACACTGTGGGCTCTCCAAAGTGGACATGCCCTGGTAGGCAGGCCCATGGCACCTGAGATCAGCTGTCTCCTCTGCTGCAAGATGGCCTTGTCTCTCCAGGGCCTCCTGCTTGGCCAGGAGCTGGGCCCGCTCCTCAGACAAAGCATCCTTCTCCTGCAGGGCTTGCTGCAGAGTGTCCATCTGGGCCTCCTGGTCCTGCAGGCTCTGTGCCAGCTGCTCCTCCAGGGCTTGTTTCATGCTTGTGACCTAGGGGTGGAAGAAAGGGGACAGTGGCAGAAAAGAGAGTAAGTGGCTGAGGGAGGGACCTCCTGAAGGAAAGGAGGGGCCACAAGCAGTGTGGCATGCAATAAAGGGAGAAGGTAGAGCACAGGCATAGGTACAGAGTGTGTTTTATAGTAGAGGGGAGGTCTGTTCCTCACACTGTGGCAGAGGTGCTATTGAACTGGGTGCCTCCACTCCCAACCTCAGTGGCACCACAAGCATTCAGAGGACAGGACGCATGGCATGGAAGTGGCAGTGGAAGGTAACAGAGAACTGGTACTGCAGACCATTTCATCTACCAAGGACATCACAAGCATTTAGACAAAATGCACTCCAGGAATACCCAGGAGTCCTCAGGAGCTGCAGAGACAGCTCAGACTGAAGATGCCAAGGTCTTGGAGAGGAGGGAAACAGAACAGAAGAATGATCCCACCACTTGGCAGCCTCTCTCCTCAAACATTTGCTGATTTAGAGTTCAGGCCAAGAGACTGAGATGACAAGGAACTCACAGTCATCAAGTACACCCCAAATCTCAAGTTTTACTCATAGAAAAGCTTGATTCTGGTTGAAATGGTAAGTCAGAAATAGACTACCCCTCCTAAAGAATGAAATTCAGGTGAGTCACCTCAGCCCCTCATCAGATTATGGTGCTCATCTCTTTCCACTGCCTGTTGGAATTAATGTAAGTCTTCTCTAAAAGAACAACATCATCACTATTCTTGTTATTCCTGTAATTTCTCATACATGATGTTTGTCATTTAATATGACGAGGCACACAAAAAGAGAAGACCACATAACAAAAAACAAACAAACAAAAAACAAAGGTGAAGACAGAAAACAAAGATATTTCCTCACCCCCACTGGATATCCAGATTAGAGTCATCAGGCACAGAAGTCAAAATAGCACTTTAATATGTGCAAGATGATAGATGACAGGATATAGAATTTAACAACAGAACTGGATACTAAATATGAATTATATCATTTAAAGATATATTTGCCAAAATTAATTAATATATAGGCCTAATGGCAGATTAGAATAGAAGAGAATACTAAAAACCTGAAAGATAAAACTGAAGGATATTCAGAACTGAATCACAAAGAGAAAAAAGATAGAATATATAAGAAACACAATATAAAATATACAAAAAGGAGAATATTATACTTGGAGGACAAAGGAAAAATTCCATCGTATGTATAATTTGTCAAATTCAAATTTGAACAAAAATATTGCAAAACAAAATTATAGACAAATCTTCCCCATGAATATAAATGCACAATCCCTAACAAAATATTATAAATTGAATCTAAAATAATAAAATAGTTATTAATCTATGACTAAGTAGGTCATCTCAAGTGTGCAATGTTGGTTTAAAATTCAAAATATTGATTAATATAATTTATCACCATAATAAGAAAAATGACAATAAAATCATCTTAATAAAGGTAGAGAAAACATTTAACAGAATTCAGGACCCATTATTGCTTTTTAAAAAGCATGTGAGGAATGAAAAGGAATGTCCTGGATCTGTTAAAGGGCACTTATAAAGAGCACAGAAGTAACATCATGGTTAGTAGAGAAATATTGAATTATTTCCCTGTGGTTGGGTTTAGTGGAAGGATGACCACTTTTCACTTCTGTTCAACTTTGTTCCTCAGGTCATGGAGCAATAAGAAAAGAGAAGAGAAGGTATTGAGATGGGAAAGGAAGTAAAATATTTGTGACCCAAAGGAACATTATGCATATAATTTGTCAGATTCCAAATCCAATGAAGATGTTACAAGGAAGGAAAATTATAAACCAACATTATTCATAGATATAGGTATAAAAATCCTATAAATTTAAAGCCCTAGTGTTTGTAAGTGAATTTGTCAAGGTCACATGGCTCAAAGTCAATACCTGAAACTGTAGTTCTAAACATTAGTAAACAATAGAAAAAGGAAATTAAATCAGAAATACAATTTACAGTATCAAATCTAGGAATGAATCTAATCAAAGTTGTGCAAAATCTCTATGATGAAAACTCTAAAGCATAGGTGTGACAAATGACATAGCAAAGGCTCTCCACGTTCACAGATATACTATGTTCATGGATAGAAGACACAATACAGGCTTTCCAGTCTCATCAAATTGGCCTATAAATCAAACACAGTCCTAATCAAGGTCCTTGTGGGCTTTATGAGGAGGTAGGTGATAGAAACTGACAAGTAGACTATAACTGTAAATGATTCTGCAAAGTGTTACAAACACAAAACAACTTGAAAAAGAACAAGGCAGGAGGACACATACTACACAATTTCAAGATTTCCTAAAAGGCTATAAGACAGTGTGGTTTTGGTGAAAGAATGAATAGACTGATTTGCATAGATCAATAAGTCCCACATATAAAATTAAGTTATTTTCAATACATTGTCAAGGTAATCCAAGGAGAGTCATTTGTCAAAAATAGTGCCGGAACAACTGGATATTAGTGTGGGAAGCAATGGGCCTCCATTCCCACTTCATCTCACACACTGTGGTCTCAGACATCAGTGTGTGTTGGGATTGCCTGGCGGGCTCATTGAAATCCAGGTTTCTAATCTTCCCCATGGAGTCTCTGACTCAGCAGGTACGTGAGGCACAAAAATTAGCAGTTTCCAGGTCCCGGTTGGTGCTCATGCAGCTGGTCTGGAGAACAGACTTGGAGAAGCACAGATACAACATGGAGTGGATCAAAGCCCTGAACTGAAAGCCAGGTGAAAATACAGGAGGCAACAATTCCTCACACAGGACCTAAAAATACTAATCATGAAAATAGAGGAGATTTGACAAAGTTTTATACCCATCATAAATATTATGAAGAAAATAAAGGGCTTGGGATGTAGCTCAGTGGTGAAGCACTTGCTTACCTAGTGCAAGGGGGGCCCTGGGTTTAACTTCCAGTATCACAAAACAAAACAACAGAAAAAAGAATGAAAAGACAAGACACAAACTTGGGGAAAGTTCTGGCAATACATCTAACTGGCAAGTTCCTGTGATATATGAAGAATTTCTACATATCCACAGCCTAAACCCAAAAACACAAGTTAAAAAATGAACAAAAGACTCGAAGAGACATGAATATTCAATGGACACATGAAAATGTGCTCAACATTACTAGTTATAAGGGAAATGCAAATTATAACCTTGGTGATGTATGACTTCACACACAAAGAATAGCTAAAAATAAAAACATGGTATTAAATGTCAGTAGGGGCATGGAGCCCCTTGAGCTGGCCACTCAGTGGTAACACCAGAACCCTGGAAAACTGCCTGGCAGCTTCCTGTAGAGCTCCACACACTCCTACACACCACTGCACTCCTGTGTTACTCGGGGAGAATGAAAATCCATGCCCACGAATTGTACATAAAGGTTCTCGGCGGTCTTACAGCCTGAATGTCCAGCAGCGGCTGGAAGGGGCAGCTGTGGCTTCTTCCCTCACGGTGTGTCACCGCGCAGCAGAGAGAAGTGCTAGTACACACTGGCCACTGGCCAGTCTAGAGAGGCACAGAGTACTAGCGAGTCCTTACTGCTGTCCTGACTGCCACACATCAGCACAAAGGCTGCCCGCCCGAGGTGTGGGGATACTTGGGTAAGACATCCCTCTTGGAGGGGGACAGATGTGGCCAGGTCTCCAGTACTGCAGTTAGCAGGGGCGGAACCAGTACGTGTGACATGCCCACCGCAGCCTCACCTGGCCCACCTGCTTCTGGAGCTGGGCCCTCTCTTTCCTGAGCTGGGCCACCTGCCCCTCCAGCTGCTCCTGCCTCTGCTCCAGACACCCACATGCCTCCTGCAGGCCTCGCTGCTCATCCCACACACACTCCAATGCTGCTCAGCCTGCACCAGTTCCTCCCTGGCACCTGCCTGCTCCTGCTCCAGGGCTCTCCTCTGTTCCTGCAGCTGGTCCCACTCCTGCTCCAGCTGCCAGGGGCCCAGGGTCTTTTTACAGTCTCCACACCACACCCCCTTGGCCCTGGTGGGCTGGCCACTGTTTGTCCCGGGCACTGCCCCCATTGTCTACCTACTCCCATTCTCAGGGTGTGTGGGTATCAGGATGGGAGAGACCCAGGGCCTGAGAAGGAGCCTTCCAGCTGCCCTGGAGAAACTGAGTCATGGGGCAAGCCACCCTGGTCCCTGCCTCACCTGGAGCACCAGGCAGTTCAGGGAGCCTTTATCTTGGGCCAGCTGTTCCATCAGGGCAGCCATTGTAGCCAGTGAGTCCTGCTGCTCCACCCCCTCTGTCTTCAGCCGTGTCACCAGCAGCTCCAGGTTGGCATTGCTGGACTGAACCTGGGGAGGGCAGTGGTCACGGGAGGGGATTCCAGGGAGGGATTAGATCCTGCAGCAGAACTGAGCTGCAGGGCAAGAGCGAGGCAGTGTCACGGACACGAGCTGGAGGCTGGGGTGCAGTGGAAAGACCCCACCTGGGCCCTGGCAGGTAGAGGCCCCAAAGCTCCCTGGAGGAGGGGCTGCAGCCTGGAGACCCTGGGAGCAGGTGTGGTCTCGGCCCAGCTCACGGATAGGGTAGCTCTGGCCAGGGCTGAGATTCCAGACAAGCGAGGTGAGGGCAGAGAAGTGTTGGCACAGAAGGCTCAGGGTGCAGAAGGGCACACGGGAACAGAGCAGCACAGGGCGTACCTGGGCCAGGCTGCCACGCAGGTTCTCCCGCTCACTCTCCGCCACATCCTTCTGCAGCTGGGCCGTGCTCAGTGCCTCCTGGGCCAACACCAGCTCCTTCTGGAGCAAGGAGACCTTCTCCTCCAGCTGCTCCAGGCGCCCCTGGCTGAGGCCAGAAGGCAGAGGGTGGAAGTCATCTCAGGATGAACTAGGGTCACTCAAAAGACTCTAATGCAGGGCAGCCATCAGCAGCCTGTCCAAGTCCAGGGAACCCTAAGAGGAGCGGGGAGCCCCCTGAAGCACAGATGAGACTGGAGGGGGAAGTGGTCCCACTCCAAGAAACTCTGAGACCCAGAGAGGGTACACTGTGGCCCCAGCATGGGTGGCAGAACCAGTCACCAGCTGTGGACCCCTGAGGGTCATGACCTGAGGCCCCTACCTCTGCTCTGCTCCCAGCGCCAGGCTCCTGTGCAGTTCCATGCCGGCTGCCTCCAGCCTCTGCCTCTCTGCGTCCAGGATGTCTGCCTCCCCTTTCAGCTCCTCTACCTGCATCTCCAGGGCTGCTTTCTCCCTGAGGGCAGGCAGGGGTTGGGAAGGCCCAGGCTATGACTCGGAGGAGGAGGAGAGGGCATACTGGCCAGGGCTGGGTCATGTGCTGGAAAGCTGTAGTAGGTATGGAATGGACAAGGGCCTGGCAGGCCACGTCTTCCAGAAAGGCTGGCCCCACCCTGGCCTCTGCCCAGGCAGCACCCTCCCCACTCCCCACCAGGCCTCTGCCCCCCAGCACCTTCCCAAGAGCTCAACCGATGCCTGGCAGCACCGTGCCTCATGCCTCTGCACCTCCAGCTGGCCCAGGAGGTCTTCATGCTCCTGCGCCCTGTCCTGTAAGAGCCTCTGAGAGGCCCACAGCTCCCTCTCACATGCAGACAGCTGCTCTCGCAGTCCGGCAGCCACGGCCCGTGAGGACTCCAGCTGTAGGCGCAGCTTCTGTGGGGGTGTGTGTATGAGGGGCCCCTCTCCAGGGTGAGGCGGCTTGGCCTTGGTGCCCCCGGGCTGGGGCCCCACCTGCTCTTGCTGCCTTCTCCTCTTCATGGCCGCTTGCACTGCCCGTAGCGAGGGGTCCAGGCCTGCTGGGGAGCAGGCCTGTGGAGCGGGGGACGGGGAGCATGGGGGGCTCCTCTGTCTGCCCCACACCTCCTGGCTTTCAGCAAAGCTGCTCCATGGCCGCTCTGGGCTCCTGGTGTCCTCCTGGGCCACCTCCAGGGTGCAAGAGAGGACAGAGGGGACAAAGTGCAAGACCACAATTAGAGGGGCTCAGGGTCACCTGGCCTTCCCCCCAGGGCCAAGCTGGCCTAACCTCCTCGATGCTGGTCAAGACTCTCCGCAGATATTGGACCTCGTCTTGCAGGGACTGGACCTTGGGCTGCAGAGTGTCTTCGGCAAGGTGGCCCCCACTGCGCCGCTGGGAGTCCTGTGGGTAGAGAGCCTCAGCCAGGCAGGTGGACATCACCACCCTCCTCTCTGGAGAGGCTCCCCCTCTGTGGCCCACAGACCTGGCTCTGGATGTTCAGCTTGAGGGATGCGATCGTCCTCTCCCTCCGCTTGCTCTGCTCTGTGAGCTCCTCTGCCAGTAGTGTCTGCTCAGAGAGCCTAGGAGAGCCCCGAGGATGCCCTGGCTCTGTCCAGGCTCCTCCTGGAGGGATCTGCCCCCTCCCCAGGGCACTCCCCTGCCTGAGGCCTGACTGCTCGCCTCTCCTGCTATTGACCCCTCAGTGGCTCTGTCTCAGGAGTAAAGCACCTGCCCTGACCTCAGTGTCCAGGGCCGCACCCTGGCCAGCCAGCTCTGCAGCTCCATGTCTAGCACTGGCCGAGGCCTGCTTCATCCTCCCAGCACAGCTGATGGGCGCTGTCTATACCCCTGCTGAGCAGGCCCCCTCCTGGAGCTCCCTGTGTCATCAGCCTGACAGCGCTCCTCCCCCTGGGGTCCCTGTCCTCAGTCCTGCTGCCCATGCCACCACAGCTGACTGTTTAGCTCTCTGCAGCCCATACCCACTGCTCTGGAGCCAGGCTGGGTCTGCATGACCTGGATGCTCCAAAGGCAGGAGGCTGGTGCCTGTCAGCCCTGTGGGCCGCTGGCTAAATTCCTGTTTGGTGGCCCAGGGCTGTCTCCTATTTCTTTTTCTTTCTTTTTTGATTTTGTCTTGGATGCAGGACTTAATTATGTAGCTCAGGCTGGCCTTGGATTCACTAGGTACCCCAGGCTGGGCTTGAACTTGTGATCCTTCTGCCTTAGCCTCCCAAGGGTTGGGATTACAGGCATGCACTGCCACACCCAGCTTGTGTCTCTTTTTCTGTTGCTTCAGACTTCCGAGCCCCACATGTGGGTTGTGGGTCCAGAACTTTCCATGTTCCCTGTGAGGATCCCTGACCCCCGGATAGGATGCTGGTCTCATTCCCCAGGACACAGGGATCTGGCCTCTTGGCCTCCACTTCCACCTTTGGACCTGACGCTCCAACCCTTGGGCTCCAGGCACAGGAAATAGTCCATGTTCTCCCTCGGCACCCACTGTGATCCTTGGTGTCAGGGGAGACCTAGCCTTTGCCTCCAGGGGAGGCTCAGATCTGGGCCCCTGGGACAGTGGCTCAGGACAGAGTGTGGCATCAGCAATATACCCTGGTATCAGCCTGTGGGGGCAGCAGGACCCCAGAACAGGACGAGGCATGACCCCTAGGAAGCCATACTGGCTGGCAGACAGGGCTTGTGCTGGCCTCCCCACCCTGACTGCTGCCCACCTGGCCTGAAGCACCACCTTCTCTGCATCCCAGCGGCCCTGCAGCTGCAGCATCTCTTGGACCTGCTCCCGCAGCCGCTGCTCCAGGGAGCTGGCTGCACTATTGGCCGCCAGCTGAAGATTGGAGTCGAGGCTGAGGCATGCTGTGTGCAGGCGCCGCGCTGTCCTGGCCATGTCTGTTCGCATGTCTGAAAGACCCCTTGGGAACAAGGCACACTCACTGAGCCCAGGCCCTGGTTGGGACTGGGGAGGCAGAGCAGCTCCCATTGCATCCCGACATCCTCAGGAGAGGCTCTTGCCATGTGGCATCTGATGTCCTATGTGCCACGGAGTGGAGGGGTGCAGCTGGAGAAGGTGAGCAGGGCCAGGGGCCAGGCCAGGCAGGATGGCCTTGGCAGGACACCACCCTCTGAGCTGCAGGGTCCTCGTGTGCAAGTGAGAAGGCCCAGGGGGCCCAGGACAGACCCACACAAAGCTCCAGCCATGGCAGGATGTGTCCCCAAAGTTCTGCCCTGCTTCCTTCCCTTTCCCTCTGCCCTCTGTTCTCCCCACTGGCCCTCTCACCAGCCAGCCTGAGGCTGGGCCAGGTCAAGAGCCTCACTGTGAGGGGGGCTCACCTCTCAGTGGCTGCCCGCAGCTCTGCCAGCTGTGTCCGCAGGGCCATAACCTGTCTCCACAAGAGGAGCAAGTCTTGGGGCTCCCTGGGGCCTGGAGGCCAGGCCTGGAAGGAGAAATCTGTGTCCACTGCAGGCTGGCCTGGCTCCATAGGTATGGAGCTTTGTCACCCACCAGCTCCTGGAGCCCTGATGCCCAATGAATAAACCCTGGCCCCCCAGCCATGCTGTGCCCCCAGGGAGAGCACCCTACACCTGCCAGGCAGCTCAGGGAATTGGGATGGGACTCTATGGTGGGCCCATAAGGCAGGGCCTTCCTTGGCTCAGCCTGTCGCCCCACAACTGGTGGGCCAGCCCCTGACTTCCCTACACCCAGGACAGCCTCCTTCCTCTAGGGGGCGCTACAAGCTGTCCAGACACCAGCCTGTGCGGGGGGGCGGGGGACCTAGGGGTATAGGGACAGCTCTGCTGCATGGAAGGGGCCAATGACCAGGAGGGTGGATTAAGGTCACTGAGGGGAGGCAGGCAGAGGCTCTGCCTTGCTGGGTACACAGTTGTGGCCCGGAAGAGCCTCATGCCATCCTAACTTGAGCTCAGCCACCTTGGGCGCAGCCACCTCAGGCTGCAGGGGTCACCGTGCCCCAGGCTGGCCCAGTTACCTGGCCTGGCTGGCTGGGTGCAGTTCTACCCTGCTGTGCCACGCTGTTCAGGACCCTCACAGCCTTTCCCTCCTGAGCTACTCGGAGCCCTACCATCCTTGGCCAGACCACTTCCTGCCCTCAGCATGGCAGGCAGGAGCAGTGCCAAGCCCATCCTCATGATGAGCAGGGCTGGGTGGTTGCGGCAAATGATCCCAGGCTTGGGATAGGTAACTGGGAAGCTTCCTGCCAGACAAAGCAACTCTCACAGCCTTCTCAGGCCGGAGGCACTCTAGGGACAGAGTCCAGGCGTAGAGTCTCCCCCTGTGGGTGATGCCCCTATGCTGCAGGAGAGTAGGGGTGCTGCAGTGGGGGGGACTAGAGGGTGGGCTGGAATACTCCAACACATCCATGCCACAGACCACATGCACATTCAGGCCATGTGCTCAACGTGCATGGACACCGCACACACCAGGCCTATACACATGTTCTCAGAAACACTCGTACTTAGATACGAACACACATCACACATGCACACACACACACATCACTTCTGCAGGCTCAGATGTGTACACTCACACACCACACTGATATCTTCTATGACACGCCACACTCTCACACACCATACCCATACACTCTGACACACAGGCACACTCACACCCCACTCATCTCTTCCCACATAAACACACACTGCACATATACCACATGTACATATATACTCACACACATATACACATGCTCACATCCCCCACCAGAAAACACATGTGTGCCAAAGCAGAGACCCTTGCCTGTCTAGAATGCTAGAAGTGAACAGAGGGAAGAAAATCTGCCCACGGATCCAGAACCACAGCAAGATATCACATGACTGAAGCCCACATGCACGCATCCTCATTCTCAGACACCCTTGAGCCAAAAATCTACAGGCACCCACCGGAAGTGAATATCCCTTTTGGAAATACTACATTCACTCCAGATTTCAAAGAATTTTCACAGAGTTCCAAAGAAAATAAGCAGCTCTTAGTTAAACAACAAAAATCACCCGAGACACAAGGAGGCAAAGCAGCAGGGTAAGAAGCCAGCAGAACAGCAAGTCCATCTTGACATCGACCCAGACCACAGAGCAATGGCTTTCAAAACACGGTGACTGCTGAGGCACAGAAACACAAGCCAGGAACAAGGTATCTGGGGAAGACTCAGCCAACACTTCCAAAGGCGAGAAAGACAACATTCAGAGCCTGTGCCGAGCAGCAGACGTAAGATCAGACATCAGAAGAGGATGCTAGGGGAAAGGCTGTGAGGACATTGCCAACTGACTCTGCAGTCCAGTATGGCACCAGCCCGACTCAGAGCAGAAGTGGGCACATGCCTAGCTGGCTGTGGAGAGAGGGGAGCCAGGCAGTGACTTTGGGAGTGATAGCCCTTCCAAAAGTGACAAAGGCACAAACTTGATGAGCCATGACCAGAATAGGAAGCAAACATGTGAGAAGAAGGGCTGTGACACTGCTGAACACCAGCCCAAAGCTGAGCTAGAAAAGGCCCCAGGCCTCTGCATGGGGCTGGAGGAGGTGCACAGTGCACAGCACAGCGTGGAAGCTGGAGGCACAGAAAGGACCTGCACAGCAGTAGAGCAGCAGCAGCAACAGCAGCAGCAGCAGCAGCCAGGAGTGCTGACTGGAATTTGTGACACAGGAACCTGCCTGTGGTTGTCACAAAACAGGCCTGGCTGCAGATGTGGACAAAGCCACACGTGTGACACCTCCACAGGCCCATGCTCAAGCCCTGCACTGCAAGACAGGGTCTGTCACACACCTCAGCTGGCTCATCTGATGTCCTGGGCCCCTCTGCTCCTGGTGGCAGCCGTGTAGCTGCTGACTTTTACCTCCACCCACAGCTGCTCCCTCTGCCTTACTGGGTGTGAGGAGCCAGTGGTGGCCTCCTGGGAGTGGGCATGTTTGAAGGGACTCTGTGGGGAGCCTTCAGGAGAGAGAGGTCCTGCCAACGGATTGTGTGGCAGACACTGGCTGCATGTGCAACCCCCTTGTTGGAGTGCAGTGGGGACACATCAGTCCTGTTGGAGACTTCCTCAGGCACAGAGCCATGTCAGCCACGGCCATACTCAGCTCACAGGGCCCCGTGTCCAGGGTAGACAAGAGCATCACACCTGTACATGTCCCTCCCGCAAGGCCAAAGCCTGGGGCCTGGGGCCTGGCCCCTCAGGTGTGGCTGGCCAGACTGCTAGAAGTAAGCAGCCCGGCCAAGGCCCTCCCTGTGTCCCCATCTGGGCCAGGGCCAGGCCTGACTCATGCCCAGGGCCTCCTCCCCCAGTGAAAGGGCCCAGGGTCCCCAGTGCCACAGGTGCCGTGACCGCACCAGATAGAGGATGGAACCCTGCGCATGCAGCCTGCTGAACCTCTCCCTGCCCTGCCTTTTGCCACAGCAGGTAGCCTCTGAAGTCAGCAAAAGCGGGGAGGGGGCACCTGTGTCTTGGTCCAGTGCCATGCACCCCTCAGCTTCAGTTGGCGCTGCAGGTGGACCACACTGTCCGCTGCCCTGGCCAGCTCTTGGGCCAACCTGTCATTGGCTTTCTGCATGTGCTCTAGCTGTCCTCGCAGGAGGGCATTCACCTGGGCGAGGCCGGCACTCCTGGATGGGACAGATAGACCCACGCTGCATGCTGCTGCTGAGTCCCAGCCCCAAATCAAAGCTCTGTAGAGCCTTGAGCAGTGCTGGCCTCCTGAACTGGGTCCCAAGGATGGCAGCAGCTGATGTCCTCCTTCCTGCATCTCCCCAGCCCTGAAGCTCTGCCACCACCCTTGGTGCTCCACAGTGCAGAGGAGCAGGAGCACTGCAGGGTCCAGGGCCCAAGGGTGCAGAGGGAGGGTCCCTGTGGGAGAGGCCCCCAGCAGCTGGTCTACACCTGGCCAGACTGACCCTGTCCTGCTCTAGGCTGCATAGCCGCCTACAGGCAGTGGCCTCCACTGAGCTGCTCCCCTCAGAACTGGTGTTCACAGTGCTTCCCAGTACTGCTCCTCTTTCCTGAGTCCCCAAGGGTGAAGCAGCTGTGAGGGGTGCTCCACACACACTGACCTCCTGGGCCTGGGCCTGGGCCTGGGCCTCCTGGCAGCCTGCAGCGCCCCATCACAGGTGGGGGCTGGTCTGCTAGTGGGTTACAGGTGGGGTGCAGAGTCAGTGCTGGGATCTGGGCTGATGTTGGGTGCTGGTTTCATGGTGGGGTGCAAAGGTGAACAAAAGAGCATCTGACCATAAAATCAGAGTGGCTCAAAGCCCAGAGGGTGGGGAGCTGGTGTCCCGAGAAGGGGAGCCAGCATGAGCAGCAGTGGCCCTGCCACCAGCCTCAGTAGGCATCAGGGGCTGGGGAGCCCCACAGCCCACAGTGCGGTCTGCGCTGGAGAGAGTGACCTAGGTGGGGGAGGCCCAGGCGTGGCTGCAATGGTACCAGGGAGCAGGGACCTCTGCTGAGCCCAGTGTGAGTGGAGACGTCCATCCACCATCCTCCCCTGGGTGGCCTCAGAGCCCCAGGTGGGTGGAGACTGGTGGTGGGGCACTGGTGGCGAGGCCATGCTTTCCCTCACTTTCCTCTCAGCCCTGTCCACAGCGGGCAGGTGGGATGACTTGGGACCATGAAGCCTCCATCCTGACCCTCACTGGCCTCAGCTCCCAGGTGTGGCTGGCTCCCGGCTCTGCCGCCCGGCCTCACCTCTGCTCCGAGGCCTCCAGGTGGCCTAGGGCCTCCTCCAAGTCCACGCTGTGCTCTAGCTCTGACCTCCGCAGCTGTGCTTCGGTGGTCTCCAGCTGGGCCTGCAGCTGGGGGCCAGCAGCCCATCAGGGCCCCACAGCTATGCATCATCCACCTGGGCCTGGGGACAGACCTGGGAGGCAGGCCCTGGAGGCCCTCTAGATTCCCACACCTGCATTTCACCAGTGGGCACCTTCCAGCGTGGGCCACCTCCCAGCCCTGGTCGAGAGGAGCCTGGGACATGTGTCCTGCCATTATTGCAGAACCCAGGCTGCAGAACCCCATCCATCAGAAGCGTCCTGGGTGATCCAGGCCTAGTGGAACCCAGAAGACTCACCAGGACCCATTGGCCAGGGCCACGGGGCTGTTATAGGACCAAGGAGCTGGTCTGGGGGCCCAGGAAGTGATGGAGAGGAAGGCCCTGGGTTAGGGCTGGGGGAGGATGGTGTCCCCTCAGCAGTAGGGGAAATGGTTTGCACCTGATGGAAGTCACCCTGTCATGCTGGACACCAAGACCCTCCTTGCCTGCCGCCTTCCTGGAGGTATCGGGCACGAGGTTGGGCTCCTGGCACACACGCCCAGGAGTCTGGGAGCACAGATCTGACTCACAGGCTTACTAACCACAGGGCTTTTGTGGCCTCTGTCCCCTCGGGCTGTTCCCAACAGCTCCACCCTGTGCTAGGAAGATCCCACCCCTGCCTGGCCACGGCCAATGTGAGCAGGGGGCAGCAGGCTGAGCCCTTGAGCTCCGGGTCAGCATGGCCCAAGCAGTCCTGCCCTGGAGCTGGGTGGGGCATGAAAATGGGGTGTTTCCCACACAGGGCAGGGTGCAGTGGGAAGGGGTGGTGGAGCGGGGCTCATGGGAGGGCAGGGTCTCTTGGGGTCCCAGGAGACCTCCCAGGAGAGGCCCAGGCCCAGGGGCATTTGATGCTGGTGTGGCTCACACATCAGGAGGTACAGATTTGTTCAGGCCTGGGTGCGCACCACCCCCTCTGAGCCTCATTTCCTCATATCCCTGATGAGCAGAACTCAGGGAGGCCTGAGCATAGCATAAGTGGTGGCCAGGCATGGGCGCTGACCCTGAAATGTGGGCCATACACACACCTGTACCTGCTGCACGTCCATTCTGCTGAGTGGCCTAGTGGGGCCTCATCATAGCCGCAGTCTGCCCACTTGTCACGCAGGATCTGCATGTGCCATGCCGCCTGCTGGGCTCTGACAGGCAGCCTGCTTTGAGGACAGGCTGAGCTGCACTCACCCGCTTGCTGAACGCATGGCACCTGCCAGCCAGCTCATCCCGCTCAGCGCCTGCCTGGGCCAGCAGGCCTGCCAGCCGGACCAGCTCCTCCTGAAGCAGCTCGCTCTCCTCCTGCACGCGGGCCACAGCGGCAGGCAGCTGCAGTGCCCCTGTGAGACCAGCCCATCAGCCTCACTGCTGGGCTGCCCGGCCCCTTTCTTCTGGTCCCAGGCATCACCACGCGTGACCCCTGCCCAGCTGAACCCCCACAAAGTCTGCTTGGTGGCTTGGAGCTGGGCACCAGAACTGGCACCTCAGTGCCAAGGGAGGAGCCACTCCCCTAAACACAGGTGCTGGGGGTCCTCTCCCCTTGCCACTGCCTAGATGCCAGCACTCCCCAATAAGGCAGGACAGACTCTCAGGGTGGGTGGGAGTGCACCGGCCACAGTGGGCCAACAGCCTGACTGTAGCATGGCCTTGTGTGCACCCTTTGCCTGTGACAATGAGGTCGCTGTGTGCAGGGTGCTGGGTGGAGGACACAGGCAGAGCCTGGGGTGGATGGGGGGCTTGTACTCCTCAACCAACATCAGCCATTGGGGTTCTCATGCCAGTGAAAGTGCAGAAGGAAGCAACTGCAATGCTGGTGTTAAAATGCTGGTCCCTTGTGCCAGTGGTGGGTGCCTGGAGGACACCCTGGGAATAGTGGCCACTGGGCCAGCGGGCAGCTGGGCCACAGGACAGTCAGGGTTGGCTCCCTGGTCCAGCCTCCACTGTGCTGCCTTTCTCACCTCGGGGTGACTCGCTGCCCAGGCTGCTGGCCACAATCTCGCGGATGCGGGCAGGCACAGGGGTGGGCGAGGCCTGCCGTCCTTCCCCACGCATGGTCAGTGCCCGGTCTTCCTTGCTGGCGGTGGGGCTCAGGATGGTGTCCTCCAACTTCTGAAAAACACCAGGGGACACCTGGCATCTGGGCACACCCTAAACAGCACCAGGCAGCCCACATAAGCCAACAGGGTTAGTGGGGCCACCAGAGGGTCACCTGAGGCAGCGAAGGGCCTGGAGAGAACAGGGCAAGGCAGGTACTTTGGTTTCCCACCTAGGATGGGATGGCACCTGGCCCTGCTTGTGCAGAGAAGTCCTGGCTGCGGACAGCCTCAGCCCCAGGACCTTTGCCTCTGGTCCCTGTCCCCTGGTGCAGGGCTGCTCACAGCTGGATGAACACACAGCAGGGATGGAGCAGGGCCTGAGCCCCATGGGCCCAGCCCCAGCTACCCCTCCCTTCCCAAAGGAGGGTGGGCTTGCCCAGTGCCTAGGGGCTCCCCTTGGGCTTCACAGAAGAGGGGGACAGCCAGGGGCACCCTCCTTCCTGGTGAGTCCTGAGCAGCTAAGCTGCCAGGGAAGAGATCCACACAGGCCCAGTTCAAACTGGGCACAAAATCCTAGGGTCTAGGTACCTGGAGGTAGACCTTGGGAGTCTCAGGTTCTGGGCAGCAGGGACCTGGACAGGACCTGCTTACCAGATCCTGGGGGCTGGCCCCTTCCTCACCAGCAGGGAAGTTCCACACATGGGAACAGAGAAGGTGCTGTGGCATGGACAGGGTACCCTGCCCCCTTAAGGGAGTTATGACTCAAGAGGAGACCCCCGGGGTTTCCCAGCCCTTTGCTCCCATAGCTCCCAGGCCATCACAGGAAGACCCTTGTCCTTGAGGTCCCCTGCACTGGGAGACCCTCCCACTGGCAGCTTCCTGATTGCCTGCTTTTCTCAGCCCTGTCCCCACTGCCCTGACTCTAACTCCAGTCTGGGCTGGAGGCCTCTTGGGTGCACCCCACCCCCAGCCCCTGCCAGGCTTGTGTGTGCCATGAACTCCAAGCACCAGGCCCCAGTGCTCCTTCATCTGGACCTGTCTGCAGGGGGCCAGGACTTTGGGTCACCCACCAAGAACACACTGGGGCCTGGTACATGGCCCCTGGGTCTTGGGGAGGAGCCACCCTCATCCACATCCCCAGAGGACCACAGGTGTGTGGGGGGTGGTGGGCAGCCTCCCCTACAGCAGCAGGATGGGGAGGCAGGAGTGGGTGAAGCCCTTCTGGGTCAAGCTGGGGTGGGGCGACCTCAGGGCCCCTCCCCCCAGGAGATGGCAGGAAGAGGTCCAGCCATGGTCTCTCCTGGTCTCTCTCTTTGCATAGGAGGAAACTGAGACCCAGGCAGGCTGCAGACAGCTCTCCAGGCCACTGATTAGAGACGAGGGATCTGGCCTGGCCCTGCACCCCTCCCTTTTCCCTCCCCTCCCCTCTCCTGCTGCTCCCTGAAACACCCGTGGCGCCACCCGCTAACGGGAAGGCGGCGCACAGCTCAGACTTGACTCATTCCAAGCGTTCACAGAGGGTCACTTATGAGCCTTGTCCCAAGAGTCGCAGGGGTGTAATGGGTTCCAGCTGTGGCCCAGTGTGGCCCGCCAAGCCTGGAGGGAGGGAGGGGCAGGCAGGGCGTCCCGGGGCCACCCTCCCCTCCCTTCTCCTCCCTTCCCCCTCCCTCCCCTTCTCCCTGCTGTTCCTTTCACAGAGGGACAGCGGAAATGGGGGAGGGGCAGGGCCTGGGGTGGGCAGGCCCTGTCCCAGGCCTGCACCCATTGCCCTCCCTCCCCACGCTTCCCTAGCACAGTCTCTAGCGTGCCTCCTCCCCTCTGTCCCTGTTCCTGGTGCCCCCAGGCCCTGCAGCCAGGAGAGGTCACCTGCATGCTCCAGGGTGGGGGCCCTGGTGGGTGGTAAGGCAGTGAGGAGCTTGCTGGAAGGGCTTCTAAGCAGTCTTAGAGTTGGGGGGCACCAGGGCTGGGTGCCAGGTTCCCAAAAGACCCCGACTCAAAATTGAACCTGGCCTTCCTCCTGCCCCTGGGACCCTCTTCGTCCACAGCCCAGACAGGAGGGCTGGGCACCAGGCCCTGAGCAGAAGGACCCTGGGCAACAGACCAGGGAATTCCCGTGGGCCCTCCCTGCTCCCCACTCCCAGCAGCTGTGTGGAGGGGACAGTCCCCATGTGAGAGGCCTCCTCTCCCCTCCCTGTCAGACCAGACCAGGACTCCCTCACAAGAGACATAGGCTGTGGTTTCCCTGTGCCACCAGTGTGCATGGCCTCTGGAGCTCCTGCCCTTCCTGTGGCCCTGCCTGCACCCCATCTCATTTGGGTGGGGGTGTCCCGGGCTGAGGTGGGGTCCTGGGGCTGCTGCCATCCTCCACTATGGGTCTTGGCTAAGGTCCCAGAGGGTTGGCCTAAGTGTGGCCTTGTCTACCCCATGCTGCAGATGGGAACACTGAGGCCAGGGACAGCCACTCAGCCCTAAGGTGGGGTGGGGGAGGCTATGCCCACTTGTGGCACCAGGTGAGGGGTTGGAGGTGCGGGGCTCCGGGCTGCCCTTGGGCTCATCCAGGGCCCACAGCTTCCTCTGCCCCACTCCTGTCCCTGGCATGGCCTTTCCCACTGCTCCTTCCAGACCACTAGGGGTCAGAGGCCCTGTGGGCACATCAGGCTCTGTGGTCCCTTCTTGTGCAGGCTGGGTGGGAGAAAGAGAGCCCAGGTGCAGGCCCTAGAAGGAGCAGGACTGGGGCCTGCCCAAGGAGCCAGCCCCAGGGCCTCAGCTGTGGGCTGGGAGGTGTGTGAGGGGTCTCCACATGGGGCACCCAGAACAGAGGCTACAGAGGCTGAGTGTGGCACTCTCTGCCCACCTGGTGACCCCCTTGGCTCCTGGACACACCTCCAGCCAGCAGTACTGGTCACCCTCTGAGGAGCTGTGGAGCTGAGGGGAGGCCTGGTGAGGCAGAGTTGGGGACGCACACAGTGGTAGCCTCTAGGGTGGAGGCTGGTGAGGCTCCCCCACACCTGGAGTGGCAGAGGCAGGCCAGGGCACTGCCCTTCATTTAAAATCACCGAGGGACCCCAGAGCTGGATGAGGAGGCTGAAGCAGAGGGTCTTCAGGGCGCCTTGGAGACACTGCGCCCATGTGGCTCTATGGATAACCGCAGGAGGGCCGCCTGTCGGGCTCCTGGGAGTCCAGGCGCCAGCAATCAGGGTTAGAGAGCTATGGGTGCGGATGGCGGGCCAGGTCCAGTGGGCCCCACTTTCATAGCATTTCCTGACCTAAGTTGGATGTCGGCCTCCTTGTGGGTGGGGAGTCTGGGCAGGTGTGGGACTGCTCTGGTCACTGCCCATGAGTCCTGTGCCCCCTGGGCCCCAAATACTGCGGTCATGGTTGTTGGACTGACAGCCCTCCTCCTTGGGCACCCACGGCTCAGGGCCCCGCACCCTCCATCCATCCAGGCCAGCCTGGTGCTGTCCTTCCTTGCCTGGCCTGATGTAGATGGCCCTGGGCAGGGGGTCCCCTGCCAGCCCTGCTTCCTTAGGACAGAGCTCTGCATGCCCAGCAGAGTCCACCTCCCCAAGACCATGCCTCTGCTGCCTCCCACTGAGACCTCCCTGTGTGGCGCTCCAGGTGGGTAGCACGCCAGGGCAGGCACATGCTGCTGGGGACAACGGCGTTCCTCAGCTAGTAATAAACCAGTTCCTCCAGGTGGGCGTTGGAGCAGGCACTGTGGGAAGAGGGCAACTTCCATGTCCCTAGCCCCAGCATGGCCTTGGCACCCAAACAGGCACAGACACTATTCATGACATGAATGACCGGAAACTCTGATGGACCAGCCAGAGGTGTGAATCACAAGCTGAGATTGACTCAGCAAAGAGTTTAAGGTGAGGGTGCTGTCTGTCTCATGTGCTCCTGTGCCCTGGTACCTGTGCAACTACCTGGGAAGGTGGTAGGCAGACTGACCGGCAGTACGGGTGTGGGTCTACATGTGTGTGTGTGTATGCATGCGTGTGCAGAGTGCAGGAACAGTGTGAGCAGAGGCCCAGGATGACATCTCTGGGGGGCCTGGGAGGGGGCAGGAGAGGACTGTGGGGAAGGGAGAGCCCCTGTACCAGAGGAAGTGGCCACTGGTCAGTGCAAGGCTACCTGTCCATCCCAGTAGGTGTTCCAGAAGCCTCGCACATGGCCACCTGTCTCGCAGCTCACTCCTGGATGGTGGGGGCTGTGAGGCTGCTTGTGGCTGGGACCTCTCTGGCCATTCCTGGTTCCTGTCCCTGTGTGGTGGTCCTGTGCCTAGAGCCTTGGGGAATAGGGTCTCCCATGTGCTAATGGGACAACTGGGCTGGGGGCCAGTTGCTGGGTGAGCAGGGCAGGATCAGCTGCTGGGATCCCTGCCTTGTCTGTCAGTCCACTGGAACAGTGATGGAGAGGACCAGTAGGGGCCAGAAACTGAGTCAGCCCTGCTGCACAATGGAGCTCCTCAGAAACCCCAAATGAGGCTGTAATGAGGCCCTGGGGTGCTGGGTCTGGGTGCCAGCTCCTCCCGCTTTTGCCCTGGGCATCTCTTCCATATTCTGGGAAGAGTGAGGCTCAGCCTGCTTCTGTGAGCTGCTCTGGTACCTGCTGACCCCAAGAGAGGGCTGGGAGAAACCACTGCACAGTTGATGCTGAGGGACCCGCTGCCCTCTGCCATGGTCTGCACTCACTCCGGTGGCAAGTGTTGGAATAAAATTGACTGAGGGCACCCCGTGGCATCCAGAGCTGGAACCTCAGTCAGCCTGAGGAGACCCACACCGTGGAAGTCAGACTGAGTCAAAACAGCCCCTGCAGGTAGCACCCTGCTGAGTTAGAAAGTGTACACCAGAAAAGGGCAAAGCCAAAGCGGAAAACTAATATGGAGAACAGGACAGAAACTCCTCAGAAAGTAGGCTTGCCTTATGATCCAGCTGGCCACTCCTGGGTGTACACCCTCAAAAGCAAGCCAGACACTCAAGAGGGTTTGTGTGAACTCTGCAGATGGTGATGTTACCTACCACAGCGGACAGGGGGAGCATCTTAAGTGGCCCTCAGTGTGAGGGGGTAAAGCAGCACGAGGACCATCCATATAATGGAATATTCTTTTGTCTTGAAAAGGAGGGAGATTCTGGCCTACCTGCCACACGGATAGACCCTGGGGACATCATGTTCAGAGAAAAGAGCCCGTCACAAAAGACAGTAGTGTCTGATTCTCTACTGGGAGTTGTCAGGAGCATAGAGACAGAAAGCATTCAGTGGTTGCTGAGGCTGGGAGATACGGTCCTGCCATTCAGTTCTGAGGGGGCTGTCTCAGCCTCCTGCTCACCCATGTAACTGTGCCAAGCTCCCAGTCACCACAGAACAAGTAGCAAGCATCGCTGGGCTCCCCAAGGCTCTCAGGGCAGTGATGGGGGACAGTGGGAGTAGGGGCAGGCAGAGGCACTGCCATCTCACACCCAGGCTTCAGGTTCTGGCACTGCCCTGCCCCTCTCCCTCAGTGGCCACCCAGCTGCTCTGGGACGTGAAGGGGCCATGGGTTGCAGAGCTGGGATCAAACCAGTCTGGCCACTTGCCTGGTCCTCACTGGCCTAGCTTTAGCTCACAGGACAGGACCCCAGCATGGAGTGGCCTCCAGGTGACAGTCCCTGCAGGCTCCTCTCCCAGGGTCTTCCCTTGCTTGTGCACTATGATGTGTCCACATCATTTAGCCACCTGGCACCACCATGGGACTACTACTCCTTCCAGGGAACAGGTGTTGTTTATCCAGGCTCCCAGGTCTGAGCAGCAGCTGACACTGAGTCACTGGCCCATGCGGGTACACTGGGATCCCCAGGGCTTGGAGCTGCCTGGCTCTGGTGGCTGGTGCGGGGTGATAAATGCGGAGGAAGCAGGATGTGCCAGGCAGGGGGCAGGGGTCTAGCAGGTCAAGGTGGGGAGTGGAGATGAAAGAGTGGTGTTGGGGACCCCTGTGATAGCCTCGGTCCAGGAAGCCTGCCACTCCCACGCCTAGCACACAGAAAGCAGAGGATGGCAGCTGAGCCCCAAGGCCAGGCAGAGGGGTCTGGCCCTCACCCACGTGCCCATGTGTGTGCCTGAGCATGCCTGCCCCTGCCCCCGCACATTTGTGAGTCCCCTCTGTGCTCTCTCTCAGTGCCCTCAGGACCTGTGCCCCCTCCAGGCCCAGGCAGCAGCCACTGTACTGACCTGGATCACGGCATCCAGCGGTGGGGCCCGGTCACCAGTTTCACTGGAGGCAGAGCTCATGGCTGCAGGCTCGGCTCCCTAGTGAGGCTCCTTTGTCCCAGACTGGCCGGCCAGAACCTTGCCCCATGCACCTGTCTTGCACCTGCAGGGGGCTCGGCTTGTCCTGCTGTGCTGAGACCTGAGCCTGGGCACACGGCTGCCCAACTCGGCTGGTGAAACTACATGTCCAACCAAGCCTTGGCTGTTGCTGTGGCAACTGGGACGCTGAGGGCTGGGTTTCCCTGGAAACAAGAGTACAGATACTTGTTCTGGGACTCAGGAATGTTGGGCAGGAAGCAGTTTCCCTGGAGACCTGGAGGGAAGCTGTACTACATGACACACCTGTGGGTGGCCTCTCCCCCGCTGTCCACTCAGGTGGACTCCTGCGTTTGCTGCCTGCACACCCCAGGCTCCTGTTCACCAAGAATCCCAAATTGTAATTTTCTTAAATGTGGGAGCTGGCTGACCTTGTGTGATGGACAGAGCCATGGGAGGGGAGCCCCTGCCCAAGGAGCAGAGGGGCTCTGACTATCCCCACCTCTGCTCCCCCCTTCCAGGACTCCCCCACTCAGCTGAGGGTCTTCCCACTCTCAGGAACCCCAAGGCACCAACGGGGGTGCTAGCCTCAGCCTTCAGGGTGGAGAGGGAAGAAAGGCAGTGGGCTTCTGGGCCAGGAAGGACACTTCCTGTGGGCAAGGGCACAGCTGGTCCTGTGCTTCTTGGCCGGCTGACTCCACAAACAGAGCTCTGTTGCTTGGGCCTGGCCTCCTGGGCCCCAGGCCTGGGCATGGCATCCATGGGTGAATGTGCCAGTCTCTCTGACCTTGGGGTTCCTCAGTCCTAGCTGGGATCCCAGAGCCAGCCTGATGCTGGCAGGGGTACCTTGTGGGAAAGGGGAGCCATGGCCCATCTTGTGGGGCAGGCTGGCCTATTCTGGTGCTCTGTGGAGGGGTGCACCCCTGTCTCCCAGAGTCTTGGGTTCTCAGCTAGCCTGGCAGGCAGGGAGGTGCCTGGTGGGCTGGGCCAGGAGGGGCCACCAGGGGACAGGCCAGCGGGAGATGGGGCTGGGGAGCCTCTCTCCCAGAGGCTACCCCACAGTTGTCACTGTAGTGGTTGACAATGGGCCAGTGCTGTGTCCCCATTGCTGACAGGGTCTGGCTTCCTGCTGAGATGGCAGTGCAGGGAGTGTGTGTGTGGGGGTGCCTGTATGCAAACAAAGCTCCCTGGAGGCCTTGGGACCTGTCCTCCTTGGGGTCCCCAGGGCTTGTGGGCTGTTGGCAGGGTACTCTGTGCAGGAACAAGCCAGCCTCTGTCCAGACACAGCCCACTAGGGCCCAGGGTTGGGGCTGCACCGGAAGTCCTGGAGGCCTTCTCGGCACCTCTGACCCCAGTGTTCTGGTTCCAAGTTCAGACTCTGGGGGCACAGCCATGGCCTGGGCACCTCCCTGGGTAGCTCCTGGTTTTACCTGGCAATCGAGCGGGTGAGGAGTAGGGTGGGAGACCCTCATGCAGAGCCCTTGGGTAGGGAGGGGCTTGAGGAGGCTGTAATCATCCACAGGGCCTCTTAGATGAGTTGGAGTAAGACTTCACTCGCAGCTGGGGATGGTGGTCACTCCTATAATCCTAGGACTCTGGGAGGCTGAGGCAGGAGGACTGAAAATAAGAAGTAACAACATGCTGGGATATAGCTCAGTACAGAGGCCATGGGTTCCATCCCCAGTACTGGGTGGGGTGGGGGGAGACTTTCCTTCCAAACAGGCCTTTAGCTGACCTAGTGTCCTTCACCCAGGCTGAAGGTGATGTCTTCTGGCTGGGCCTGTGGCTGCCACACATGTGGACTGTGGTGGTGGTGGCCCTTGGGAGGACCTGTGGGTGGGTAGGGGCCTGAGCTCAGGTTTTGAGAATCCATGAGGCCCCAGAGGTGTTTCAGAGGGAGAGCAAGGACAAGGGTGGCATCTCTATGGTGCCCAGGCCACAGCAGGCCTGCCCCAGCCTCAGTCATTTCTGGGTATGAAGCAGGAGGGCTTCCAGGAGAGCCTGGCAGCAGGCAGCTCCTCTCAGCCCCTCAAGCCTGCCTGTGACACCTGGATCAATGCTCATTGCCACCCTGCCCACTGCTCCTAGGTTGTCTGAAAGTCCTGGGTGCTGTCGCCCCCGACTACCCTCACAGAGGAGCCCAGCTCCTGCTGGACTTCAGCCCAGGACTCCTGCTTGCATCTTTCCCAGGCACCAGACTGGCTGAACTGTGTGTAGACCCATGTAGGAGGCCATGGAGGGGGTCAGCCCTCGTGCCAGCAAGCAGTTGGGGCTGTGACCAAGGTCATGCACAGGCTCTGTCTGACACAGGTGCACTGTCTACTTCCTGTCCTGCCCCTTCAGGACCAGGCCTTGGACAGAGCCCAGGAGCCCTGACAAGGTCAGCTGAGCCTCATGAGCTGTCTCCACCACCCCAGACTGTCCTGCTCCCCTGGCTTTGCTGTGGATCTGAAGAGCAGGTCCAGGTTCCTGGGGCACAGAGTCACTGGAGGAGCAGAGACAGTGACAGAAAGTAAGGCAGATTCGAGAGAGATTATGGCCAGTCAGGCAGCTGGGAGCCCGCAGGGCCAGGACAGAGGCGCCACATTCCTGTACACACTCCACCCTCTTCCTGAGCATTGTCCCTTGCATGAACTAAGCCTGGGGGCACAGTCCTCTTTCCCTGCTGTAGAGAGGAGAGTAGGCAGGGAGGCCCGCAGAGCCCATGACCCTCCCACAGCAAGAACGTGCCTTTCACAGGCTTCCACAGTACCTCCCTCTTCCTGGGGAGTTTGGAGTTGGGGTGGCAAATCAGGGCAGCCATGGATCCAGTGGATTACATAAAGGGGAGGCCATCTGGGCACATGTGCAGGGACACTCCCTCGGGGGAGGAGAAAACTTGGCCCTCTAACACTGGTGTTGTGTTGACCCACTGGAAGGCCACTGGGGAGGGATGCCAAGGCTGACCCTGGGACTGCTGGGGCGGCTCAGGGACCCTGCCCTCTGGTATGTGCTCTAGAGGAGTCTGACACAGAAAAGAAAGGGACTGAGGAGGGACTGAGGGAGGGCTATCAGGCTTCAGCATCTGTTGTGCCCAAGTCTCGAAATCCCCAAGAAGACCACCAAGAAACTCTTCTGATGTAAATACACGAGGAGTTTATTGCAGGCTGGAGCCTGGGCTCCCCGTGCCACCGATGCAACAGCTTCCAACTGGAAGTCCTGACCCACTAAATTAGCCTATTTTTGTAGGGTTTAGGTGGCTTGATATTCTCTTTATTCTATTGGCTTTTCTCTAACATTCTAAATCTATTGGATGTTACTAGGGTTCTTGCAAAAGCGGGAAGGAGTTTATTTTAGGTTGGGGAGGGGGTTGGTGCTCAGGAATGCGGTGTGCTCTTCTTATCTATACAGATCCTCCTGTTCTTTCTCTTTGAGGTTGGAATGGCCTTCCTCCCATCTGCCTGACTCCGTTCTTATCACAACTAAGTAAACTAAGCAAACCGAGCAAATTTTTATTGCCTGAAGGGGGTCGGTTCTGGCACTTTGTTTTATGGTTTCCCAACTTAAAATGGAGTTAGTTAAGCTAAGTGGGGAAGGTTTTGGGGCTAAATTTCTAGGGTCCTACACATCCTGCCCAAGAAGCTAAACCTAAGAGCTAAAAGTATAAAACTCCTAGAAGAAAACTTACAGGGAAAGCTTTGTGACATTGGATTTGGCCTTGATTTCTTAAATATGAACTCAAAAGTACAGACAATAAAAGAAAAAGTAAATTGAACTTTATTAAAATTTAGCACATCAAAGGCTAGTATTAAAGAAAGTAGAAAGACAGAATATCCATAGTGAAATACTTGCAAATTATCTTCTGATGTAGGGTTAAGATCCAGAATATATAAAGAATACTACAACTTTACAATAACAAAATAACCTGATTAAAAAACAAGCAAAGAAGTTCAACAGACATTTTTCCAAAGAAGATACACAAATAGCAAGAAAGCCTATGAAAGTGTGCTTGACATCAATCATAGTTAGGGAGATAAAAATCAAAAAACTATAATGAGATACCACCCCACACACATCAGGATGTTATTATTGAGAAAATAGACAAGTGCTGGTGAGGATGTGGGGAGACAGGAGGCTGGTGCCCTGCCCTGGGATGCCACATGTTCAGGTGCTTGAAAGCAGTAAGGTGGCCCATGAGCAGGTGCACAGACTCTTGCTCAGCCCTGTCCTGCCTGGGCCCCACCGTCCACTCTCCTGAGGCTACAGCCAGACAGGGCCATTGGTCCCCTAAACCTGCTCAGCTCCCATTCCCAGCTCTGTGCTTCCTGTGGGGCACTCACCCCAAGCCCCAAGCATGGGAATTGGGGCACATGCAGCCCTGGCATTCTCTTGCACACCCTGGGCTGGCAGTGACATTACCACCTGGGAGTGCCAGTCATTTGGAAGGCTGATTTCTCTCTCTGCTTCTCCTGAGGCTGCAGAGGTCACACCCCTGCAGGGCTAGGGTTCCAGGTGAAAGGTGGGCTATGGTCATCCCTGCCAGCCAGCTTCTACTCTCAGAGCCTTGTCCAGAAGGTTGACCTCGCTGTTTCATGCCAGACCCCTGGGCTGCCTTCCCAGCAGGACACTGGCATCCTTGGAGGCATCTGCTGGATGGGGCAGCGGGGGCCCATGTCATGCGGCTTCCTCAGCTCTGTCTGGGACTTGGATCCCAGAGATATCAGGGACTTGTGCAGGCCACAGCATGGGGGCATGACTCCCCAGCTGCCTTTCTGTACCTGCCCTTCAGCCCAGCCTCTGGCAGGGGTTCTGGGCAGATGATTCCTGGAAGAGAAAGGCTGCATGGAGAGGAAAGTGCCCTGCCACAAAGGAGGGCTCTTCCCAGGCCCCCCATGTCTGGAGCTGGTGTGGACCCAAGCTGACCTCCCTGTAGGAGGCTGCAATATGGATTATGCCCAAAGCAGGCAGTAAACTACAGGCTGTGAAGAGTTAACCCCACAATTTGCTTGTTTATAGAAGTGAGTCGTCCAAAGGCTAGTGCAGAGGTCACAGAAACTGGCACCCAAATTCCATTCCCATAATTTAAACTTTCTTAACTAGAAAAACAATGTTCTAATTACAGCCTAATTTTGTCTGTTCTGTTCCTAATTTGAGAATGCTTTGTCTTGTCCTTTACAGTTCTTCCTCCATTAATTTCCACAAGGGCTGCACATCTTTACACGAGTCCTGCCCTTGCACATAGCTTGCCGTTACCCCTGTTGATTACTAATTAAAATCAGTGGCTTGGATGGATCAGCACCTTTGCTAGTTAAGCAGCATTGGCTGTCCTGGCTCCCTGCTTTCTGTCTCTCTTAGTTCTGTCTTTTAGTTTTTTTCTTAGGCCTGAATTTTACACTGAGCAGGAGACTGGCACCTACTGTAGAGGTTTCTGGTAATGTTTCAGGGATTTTCAGTACCTCCTCAGGTTTCTGCTGGTGTCTGCCTGCTGGTGTACCCTGTGCTGATCACTTTTGCCTCCCAGAGTGGCCCCGGAGACCAGCTAAGGTGACCCAGTCAGACGGGTGGGGTAGTAGCCTTGGTGGCCCAGGGCTCGTGAGTGTAGGGCTGAGCAGCACTACAGAGGTGCCCATTTGTGGTGGTATAGAGGACGCCAAGGTGGCTGGCCATGCAAAAGAGGGAGGACTGTGATTGGATAGAGGAAGGTGACATAGATTACTGGGCTTGTCTGGTGGCCCCGAATACCATTCTTACTGTCCTCAGGGGAGGCAGGGGACTCAGACACACCCAGGGGTCCTTGTGAGGACAGAGGCAGAGACAGCAGTGCCACCAAGCTGAGGAGGTGCCCTGGAGGGACTCAGCCATCAACACCTACATCTTGGGCTCCTGGGGACCTGAGTGAAGCCTACGGGCTGCCTGTGTTGCTGAGGCAGATGGGACCTGGGTGGCCCTGTGTGGTGCTCACCACACTGCCCCTGGGGGCCTCTCGAACATAGCGCCTTCACAGCCAGCATGTGTGGTGGCTGGGATGGGACAGCGTCCTTGCCAGCAGCCCTGTCCTCTGTTCCTGCTGTCTCTGGTCTCCCCGCTATGTCCCTGCAGGTCCAGGCAGGGCTGGGCCCAGCTGCCCAGGGGATTCCTCCTACCCGCCGTTTCCCAGGATTGTCCATACTGGTGTAGTTGTTGGCCTGGCTCCAGGATGTTTTGAGGAGGCCAGCTCTGTCCAGCCACAGAGGCTGATAGTGGCACCTGCCACCAGCCAGAGTGGGCAAGGTGAGGGCAGTGGCCTAGCCCATCGGGAGCTCCGACGAGAGCTGAGGTCTAGGGAAACCAGTATCTACTGGCTCCAGGAGGGAGGACACCCGTGCCAGTGGGGGAGGCCTGCCAAGTGAGGAGTTGGGCAGCACCTCCAGGTCTCAGGACCTGGGAGCTGGGGGTCAGGGGTGGCTGAGTCCTGGGCAAGTGCAGGGCTGTGGTTGTGAGGAGTGAGGCTGGGAGAGCTGGAGACACCACTCAGGCCCAGGCATGGCAGTCCAGTCTCCCCACAGGGCATGAAGGTCAGGGCTGGGCGCGAGGCCCATCTGTCTCCTTGCAGAATCACATGGAGACGGAGACTATAACAACGGAGTGTGCTACTCCGGGCAACCCTGGCAGATGGGCCTGGGCCAGGTGGGAGGGAGCCCATGCTCACCTCTGGAGGTACGGGGCAGAGACCTGTGGTCCCTAAGGTTTCCAAGCACCAGGCTGTGGTGGCTGCCCACCTCTCAACCCTCGGGATCCCAGTAGCGGCAGGGCCAGCATCTCTGAGCTCCCCCGCACACTGCCAGCCAAGGTCAGGGCTCAGTGGTGAGGCTCCGGTTTGCCAGTCAGGACTTGCCCAGCTCAGGCAGGGAGGCACAGTGGGCAGGTGGCCTGGCAGGTGTGTGTGTTTGGAGGAGGCTTCTCAACTGGAGAGGTGGAGCCGGAAGCTGCTTCCCCCAAACCAGACTGCTGCAGCTACTGGGCCAGGTGGGAAGGTGTGTGGGGGGGCATGAGGGGGCCCAGGCGGTGGGGGGGGGACAGCCAGCAAAGGCAGAGCTCACACTTTGAGGCCCCTGCCTTTCCACTGGCACAGGTGCGTGGGGTGTAGTGACAACAGCTCTCCAGGTCGCCTTAGGCCACAGCCCCACACAGGCCAAGCAGGCACTGCCTGGGTCAGAGAGGCTGGGCAGGAGGGGCCTGGTTTCCAGAGACCCCACTGTCTGCTCCAGGGATGGGATGGGGAAGGTGCTCCCAGCACAAGAGACACACTGTCCCAGCCTGAGACCCGTGAGGCAGCCTGGAGGGAGGCAGGAGGGCGGTAACCAGGCCTGGCCGACAGCTCCTGGGACATTCCTAACTGCTGGTGACTGACTCACCCACTTCAAAGCCTTGGCTGCCACTCAGGTACTTTACCTGCACCTGGCACTGTCACTCTGGAGTTCTGCTTGGAGCTGGGCCCCACCTGCTGCTCCCCTGGGCAGGTGCCTCCCTCCTGCCCTTCCAACGTCCACACTGGCTGCAGAGCAGTTCCCAGGGCTTCCAGCCTGTCCTGCCATGGCTGGGCAGGTGCCCCTGTGGCACCACTACGTGCAGGCTATCCGGTCGAGGGAGGCGTCCCGTGTGCAGGACTTCCAGCGTGCCGAGGACACCCTGCTCACCCTGCTCGAGCATGTGCATGCCTTGGATGCCCGCTTCCTTGTGGACTACTCCCACCACCTTGAGGCCTTCCAGTTTGCCCTGCGCTCCTCAGAGGGCCCGCTGGACATGCAGGTGCCGCTGCGGGTGGATGCCGACACACTCCAGATCGAGGAGCTGGGGGCTTCAGAGCCAGGGGCTGGGCCCCTGCTCTGCCGGCTGGGCATCCCCAGGGAAGTGCCAGGCCTGGAGCCATGGATGGCTGAGGACGTCTTCAGCGCCTCCTCGGAGTGCGACGCCAAGTGCTGTGGCTACATCGTGCCCAGCAAGGTCCTGGGTGTCCTCAAGGATCTGCTGGTGGCTGCCATGGTGCACTGCAAGCACCATGGCCTCATTGCGCCAGGTAGCAGCCCGGCCCTCTGCAAGTCCGTGTGTGCCTGCCTTATGCCGTGTGTATAAGCCTGTGTACTGTGTGTGGGTGTGCACACTGAGGGACTGTGTGCACTGTGTGTGTGCACCTGTGCAGGTCGCTGTGTCTGTGGGCATAGGGGGTGAGGTCTGTGCACACATGTGTGTGTGTTTGTGGTGTGCACGGTGTGCATGGCGGTACAACTGCTGCCAGACCTTGCTCTGCCCTAGCCCCGAGCACCTCTAGGGAAACGTGTGCATTTCGTGTGCTTGGCTTTTGCGAGTGGTGTGTTCCGGACATACTATTTCCGGTTGACTGGCTCCATGAGCCCCTCACATGGCTCTGGGCCACTGGCTCTGGATTTGGTCACAGCTTGTTGTGACAATGCTCAGGGCCAACCTCTCTTCCAGCCACTGGCACATGGCACCAGGTTGTGTGTGTGCATGTGTGCATTCACTTGGACATACTAGTGTGCACACGGGAACAGAGAGAGGGAGAGATTTGGGGCTCTTGTGTTCTTAAGTCTGTTCCAGTTTGTGGCTGAGTTGCTCACTAGCATCCAGTACTATTCTGGGGTGGGGGACTTCTGAATGCACGAAAGAGCTGGCCTCACCCTCTCTCAGCTTGTGCTGACCCGATGCGGGGACTGTACCAGGGCAGCAGCCCCCTGATCGGGGCCAGAAGCAGCCAGTTTCCCTCTGCAGTGGTGGCCAGAAGCAATGAGTGTGGGCTATGGAGGGGCTGGGACAGCGGGGACCCTGAAGCCCATCCTCCTGGGGCTAGGGCAAGGGAGCCTGGCTCTCCTGGCCAGGCACTAGGGATAGAAACAGAATGTCCTGCTTCTCGTGGAGGCTGCTGTGACTTCTTCACATGAACTAACTCTCAAGTCACCTCCCTGGTATCCTCCTGGTCCTCACAGGGGCTTAAGAGAGGGGTGGGCAGGTTGTCTTCTGGGGTCACCAGCACAGGGGCCAGGCCTGGATCCTGAACAGGTCCTTTGCCCTCCTGTCCTCCACTATCAGAGGAAGTGGTGACCAGCAGAGTCCACAGCCAGGCACTGGACTTCAAAAGGGTGGAGGACCCAGAAGGCCTGGAGCTTCTGGTCAGACTCCAACACCATGAAGGCAGCTCCTCTCCAGCCCTGCCTGGAGGGCGCCCTGGCTGTGGACCAGATTCTGGGTAACTGGAGACTGTTATTAGGTGTCTGGCTCCAAGTGCTCCTGCAGCCTATCGTGTCTGGTCACCTCCCAGCCTAATTACTACAGAAGCCTGTCAGGGACATTTCTGTCCTCCTGACCTAGCTCTACCATCTGCTTGGTGAGCAGAGGCTCTGGGCCACTCTGGACAATGGGTGTCACATGTGGACCCATGCCCAGGATGACCTTGGCTGGGAGTAAAAGGCCGGGCCTGTGTGGCCCTCGCAATTGTGCTGGGCAAGCAGAAAACCCCAGACTTGGTTCCCCATGCTCACTCAAAAAAGGCAGCATGCAACCAGTGTATCACAGGCTGTCACCACCCTGGAACCGGTGCAACCAGCTGAGGAAGTGGGCCTGCCAAGCTGCCACTTCACGGGCAGACATGGTACCCACAGAGACAAGGAGACAGAGCCACCAAGGGTGGCTGTGGATGACAGTGCTGAGTTGGGAGGAGTCTGGGGACCACCAATGGGGAAACTGAGGCCCCAGGGGATGGGTGGCCTGCAGGAGGTGGTGGCTCTGGGGGTCCATCCTGAAGGGCCCAGGACTGGGATGGCAAGAATGCTGCTTCCACTCACTCAGAGCCCTCCCAGGGCTCGTGTTTGGGGACTTCCATGGGGACATGCCTGCCCTGGTTTGTGTCCCCACCTGTGTCCCAGCCACCCTTGCAGTGGTGTGCAGGGCTGTGGTGTGGGCACCCGCCCCCTGAATGTCATTTGCCCACCTCCCTCTAGGTGTTGGTTTTGGACAGAGGGGACCCTGAGGCAGAAAGCCAGAGGACCCTGGAGCACTGCCCTGAGATGGCTCTCTGGGTGGTCTGGGGCTCTGTGTCAGGGATGGGTGGGTTACACTGGAGGGGACTCTCAGCAGAAGGTGCTGTCTATTGTCAGGGCATGGGGAGGGGGAGATGGGCCTCAGGATGCAGGGCAGGGCAGTGTGAGTGGGATCCAGGCTCCACTGTCATGTTGAAGTGCAGCTGGCTGGCCCACGGTCAGCCTGGAAGCAGGGACTTCCATGCACTGTGCTGTCTCCTGTACCTCCCCGGAGCTATGAGGACAGAGCGGTCCCTGGACCTGAGCTGCCACAGGGAAGGGCAGGCTATGACAGAAGGGCTTCAGCCTGTGCCATCCCAGTGGGGCTAGGCAGTTGCATCTGTGTGTCTTCATCGTCCTCACAGGTCCCCTCCTGGGAGCCTGAATGCAGATTCCCTAGCATCCAGGGTGCCCAGGCCCAGAGGTGGGGTGTGGGGACTCTTGGGCACCTGCAATGTTTTCCGAATGCTGAAAAGGTGCTGGGTACAGGCAAGCCCCAGAGGGCAGCCTTGGGCTCGTCCTCACTGCCCCTGGCTCAGGGCTGCAGGCTGGGGCTCCTTGGGGCCACTCAAGGCCAGGGGGGCCAGGCCTCTGGTGGTGCCCGGTCCACCACTGCTCCTTGTCCTGGGTGCTGTCCGGGCCCTGCCTGGTAGTGAGTGGGGCTGAGTCCAGGCTGAGCGGCCAGTCACGGGCATGGGAGGTATGGCTGGTCGACGAGGCCCCAGGCTGGTCGAGGGCCAGGAAAGGGGGCCTCAAAGGGAGGCTGCAGGCATCTCCAGGGCCGTGAAGTCACCAAGTGGACAATTGTCCCATGAGAGGCGTCCTGGCTTGGGCACAGCCAGCTGTTGGCTCGGGGTTAGAGGGGTCTGTGGGCACTGCGGCTGCAGGTGGAGGGGCCTGGCAGTGGCAGGGGCGGCACTGGCCTGATGGCAGTCCTTGCAGGTTCACTGAGTGCTGCCAGCCTGCAGGAGGAGCAGCTCCAGCTGTCCCTGCTGGTGTCCAGTGGCTGGAGGAAGATCCGCTTCAACATCGTGCCTGTGCTGAGGAGGAAGTGTGGTGTGCCTGGCCTGGAAGGGGCCCGCTTCACACCAGGGTTCCCCGAGGGCACCCTGAGAAGGATCGTCAGCCACGGGGTGGACCTGGTGCCCACCAGCGCCCAGCACTGGAGGTACGGTAGACGACTTTCCTAGGACTCAGGGTCCTGGGAACAGGTGAGAAGAGACTGCCGCCCAGGACTGCCACCCCAGGAGAGCACCTGCAGGTCCCTGTCCCTCTCTGCCTGGTGTCTCATGGGATGGCCGGCACCCCTAGGGGAGTCAGGGTCTCTTTGGCTGCCTCCAGTAGGATGCTGGGTACCCCACGGGCAGCTGCAGTGGAGTCCTCCCCTGGGCAGGCTGGGGCCTGATGCCAGGCTGTCACAGCTCCAGGCCAAGGGTGCTCAGAGTCAGATTCAAGTGCCAGGTTTGCTCACCCTCCCAGACTCTGCCTACTCCAAGCAGACCCCACCTGTTTAGCTACAGACCCCCTTGCTGGCCTGGCCTCTGTCCTTGGGGCCTGAGAGCTCAGGAAGGCACCTGAGTCTCAGTCACTGTGGTGGGGGGAGCGGCTGGGCTCCCCAGAGACCCCAGGGATGGAGGCCAGTCCAGACCAGACACAAACAGGGGCTGGTGAGGGGGCTGCATGGCTGCCTAGCTGGCCCACAAGCCTGTGGTTCCTTTGGTAAGGGATGACTCTGTAAGCTTCTTGGGCCCTTTTTGGTGGCTCTGCAAGCCCTGCTGGGCCCCTTGCCCATCCTAGCTGCAGAACAGAAATGCACCAGGCTTGCTGAGTGCCCACCTGCCTGCCACTTAAGATGGAACAGAGGTGTTTCCTGCATGTAGATAAGAGAGTGATCTTTGCAGTGCTGGGGTGGGTGGCAGTCAGGACTGGGGCACCACAGGAAGTACAGGCGCCACCTCCGGCCACTCAGCAGGCACATAGTGGGGCCCTCAGGTGGGCAATGCCCACCTCTGTGGGCACAGGGGGATGGTTCTGAGCCTGCTGGCTATCCCCCAATGGCTCATGGCATGGCTCTGGCTTCCTGGAGGGGTCCTGGATGCAGCTGACACTCCTGTCAGGCTGGAGCCCATGACACCTCTGCCCAGGGACCAAGGCCACTGCCCAGCCAAGGCCGGGCCCAAGAACCTTCCTGTCTACTGAAGGGCAGACTGGCCGGAGGCTTCCTGTGTCCCATGCCCACTGGGTGTCTGCAAGCTGGGTGTTCACATGAATAGCCTGAGGTGACCCCTGAGAAAGGTAGGGGCTTGCAGGCCCACCACACCCCCACCCAACATGGCAGACCATAGCCTTCCAGAGGAGTGGGGTCCAGGAGTCCTGGACAGACATCAGGAGCCACAGGCCTGGGGGCTTCCTGCTGTGTCAAGCTGAGCCTGGAGCTGAGGGTAGCCCAGGCCTGATGGGGCTGTTGGCTTCCAGGGTCTGCACAAGCTACCTGCTCACCCGGCTGCTTGGGGAGCTGGGTGCCCTCCGGGGCCACCGCCTGGACAGCCTCTCTCTCCTTGACCGGGTCAACCATGAGCGCTGGAGGGACGGTGGCCGGGAGCCTGGGCTGACCTTTGACCACCTGAAGGTAGGCGTGGGAAGCTGCCCACATCTGAGACCTGGGCACCAGAGCGGGCACCCAGGTGCATCCCTTCCTCAGCTAGTGAGCCCTGACCAGCCGAGGAATTCTGTCAGGTCCGACCCCAGCTGGTCCCACAGAGCTAACCTCCCCCAGCCAGAGTCCTCCCTAAGCGGAACTGGCCAGGCTGGGCCTGGGTGCTGAGCTGGGCAGGGTGGGTCCCACAGGGCATTGTAGACACAGGGAGAGGCAGGGCTGGGGCGTGGACTCACCAGGCCTCGGGGTGTGGTGCTGTGGGTTGTGGGTCACTGCCAGGCTCCCTGCCTGGTATGTGCTGTGGACTGAGGGGTCCAGCCTGGTCCGGGAATTGAGGATGAGGGGCCTGGCCTATCCTCAGACTGCAGCTCTGCCTAGTGCTGTGTCCCCCAGGCCATTCACTGCCCTCTTGGTCCTACACACAAGGTGGGGTACATGAGAGGTGCTCCTGATCCCCACTCAGACAGTGCTGGGGACTGGTGGAAGGAGAGAGACCACAAGGCAGGAGGGTGGGGACACTGAGATGCACAGCCCTGATGCCACAGGTTTGGGACCTTTGGGTAGGGCTGCAGAGGATAGGTAGGAGTTCAACAGAGGAGCACAAGGGAAGCCCAGAGAGTGAAGGGAGCCTCCCCCTGAGGATCTAGGTCCAGCTTGGAGGTGAGAGAGGGAGACGAAAGGGCCCGAGGGGATGGTGAAGCAGCCAGTGGGGAGGGCCTGGTCCCAAACTCAGACGAGACAGGAGGCACGGAGGGCATGGGAGAGGCCTGACCCAGCTGCTGTCCACAGACCGTGCTGCTGTGGGCCTGCTCGCTCTTCCCGGCGCCAGAGGACTGGACGGAGCTGCAGGGCGCTGTGTACCGAGTGCTGGTGGTGCTGCTGTGCTGCCTGGCCTCCAGGACCCTGCCGCACTTCCTCCAAGCTGGGCGCGACCTGCTGCAGGGCGGCAGCCTGGACCTGGGCACTATCTATCAGCATGTGGAGGGCTTCGCCCGCCAGCCGGAGGCTGCCCTGCGTATCCATGCCACGCACCTAGGCCGCAGCCCCCCGCCACGCACGGGTCACAGGGTCAGGGCCCTGCTGCAGCTACCGGCCAGTGACCCTGCCTACTGGGCCACTGCCTACTTCGATGTCCTGCTGGACAAGGTGGGCCGGCTGGCTGAAGGGCTAAGCGGGCCTAGGTTTCCTTGAGGGTTGGGTTGAAAATGGAAGACGGGGGGTGGGGGATGGGGTCACACAGGCCATCTGCAGAGTGGGAGCTGGGCTGCACCCACTGCCCAACCCACAGGCAGCGATGCTCAGCCCCAGCCTCATGAGAGCCGCTTCCTGGGCCCCATTTCCTCACACCCTGGCCCTGGGGACAAGTCCTTGGGACTGCTTCTCAGGGGTGCGACTGCTGCACCAACTGCCCCTGCCCCCGAGAACCCACTTTGCTCATTTTTAGCCCACGGTCAGCTGGCTCCAAGGCAGGAAGGGCCTGGGCAGAGGGGTGCCGCTCACAGCAAGTCTGAAGGGGAGACTGTGGGAGGCAGCGGGAGGACAGCCAGCCTCCAGACACGGCTCCAGGAAGCCCTTTTTCACAGCGGGGCGGGTCGTCGGCCGGCCAGGACTCCATGTGTGAGGGTCTCCTTCATGTGGAGTCCCTGGGGCAGGAGCCCAGTGGAGGGCTGACAGGTGTGGTGACGTCTCTGTGACCCTTGCCTCCCACCTACATTTCCAGATCTTCACCGTCCAGGATAAGGACCGTGTTGCAGCCATGCAGAGAATCTTCTGGAAGACCAAGAGCCTGGATAGCATGGACAGCTGAGCTGTGGAGAGCTGGGCTTCTCCTGGAGGGGGTGATGGAGGGGCTTTGTCCCCGGGATTCCACAGGCCGCCCAAGGGACAGCTGGGACAGTCTGAGTGTGCGGGGTGGTGGCCACAGAGTCAGCCAAGGGCATGGGGTGAAGGCACAGGTGCCTCCTGGGACCTGGGGTGACCCAGTGTGTGACACTGTCAGGAAAGCTGAGTGGACTTGTCCAGCCTGTGCCTATGCCACCCTTTGATGATAAAATATGGGGTGCTCAAACTAATGTCTCATTCACACAGGGAGAGGGCTCTGCGCTCTGTGTCTTCAAGTAGAAATACAGAAGCCTATGGACAAAGGGGGCTTGTGTGCCGGGGACAGTTCCAACCTCCCGCGTGCTCTGAGAATGACCCCTTCCTGGGTATCCCCACTTCCTAGATGCAGAGGAACCAAGGCCAGCACAGGGGCTCCACAGCTCCCACAGCCATTCCCTGAGCCATTTGCCCCTGCTGGCCCTGCTACTCCCACTTGTCACAGCAAAATGCCCCCTGTGAGGCTGGGGTCCTCTCCCGGTATCTGACGCCCCTCCTGGTCCGCTCCCCTTCCTTGCTCCCCTGTATCTTCTTATTCCCCTCTGAAGCTGCCCAGCCCAGGGCACTCTGCCTTCTCCATTCCATCCTCCCCTGGTGTCTGAACACAGCCATTTCCCTGGGCTCCAGGGAGGGGACCCACCACCGGTGGCCAGCACATGCCACACATGTCCCCATCCCATGTCCTTAGGGTTGATGGCCATGAGCAACAAGAGCCCGGCAATGAAAGCAGAGGTGCCCAGGGTGGGAGCTGACACCACACGCACTCACAACATGCATTGTGCCCTGCGTGAGAACAGGCATGTGGAGGACAGAATCGGGTCCAATCTGATTCACCATGTGCCCAGAGGCTAGGTGCCCTGGTGAGGCCCTGGGTATTGAATGAGAATCGGGTGGTCCTACTTAGGAAAAGGAGCTGTGCTGGGGGAGGCCCTGGACACCTGGAGTCACTGTGGATTCCAGTGCACAGCAGATGTGAGGCCTCAGGGGCGGCTGCCTGAGCTCACCCCAAGGTGTCTGTGGGTCGTAACCGCAAGGTCGGAAAGACTCTGGGACCAGGCACAAATAGCACAGGCCAAGAGAGAGCTCCACCCAGCCACACCCCTGCCCCGGTGGAGACTCCAGCAGAAAACAGGAAGGAGAAGCTGCAGAGCAGAGAAAACTTGCAGGGCTTGGTTTACCTGGCTGCAGCTGGGAGGCGTAGATCAGCAACCACAGATTAACGGAAGATGAAAATCCAAGTCACAATCTAACAGACGCTTCTCAGAAGCAGGTATAGGAATGGCCAGTAGCACATGAATAGACCCAGGCACCAATCATCACAGGCAATGCAGATTAACCCTATTAGATGCAGCTTCACACCTGGTGCAGGGGAAGGTGGCCAACAGCTCTCAGAGAAAGCCCTGTGAAACCCAGCCACACTCTGACCCCGACATCCTACTCCTGCATCTCAGATGCAGAGCGCGGCACAGCCTGGCTCAGGAGTCCTACAGCCTGTCCTATAGTCCCAGCACTCCACTGTCCTTCCATGAAGATGGGACACTCTCGCCCGCAAGGCAGACTGGCCCCATGGTGGGCTCAGAGAGGACAAGCCATGCACCCGCAAAGCCCTTCAAGGGGAAACTCAGCGGACTGGAGCAGAGGGGCTCTGTCGGGGATTCCGGGCCCTCCAGACAGACTTTTACTGGAGAGAAAGAGACAACCCTGCCTCTCATCAGCAGAAAGGGGAGGGCAGTGCCCGGGGTACTGTCAGCTATGAAGACCCTGGGAGGAAGAAGCTCTGTGCTTGGCTTCTGGCTCAGCATCTACTGGTGGAGACCACAGCACAGCAGATCAGCTCCAGGGACAAAGGCTGAGTTTTGGTGTGGCTGCAGGCACACATGGGTCACCAGGTGCCTCTGTCCTTGAAGCTCTCAGGGCCATGTCTTCTTGTCACAGTGAGCTCTAGGGGCCCGACCCTACCCGCTGGGGCAGAGATGGGGTCAGGCTGAGCCCCATCCTCAGAGGGGCCTCCCTGGACAGGAGAACCCCTCCTGCTTTGCTCCCAAGGCTCTGGGGACTAGAGGGCCTGGAGACACAGGCACAGTGTCAGGTGGGGCTGGGTGGGTCATGAGACTGGGCTGCTCAGAAACTTCCGAAAGTGAGGGTTGGGGCAGAGGCTGTCAAGCAGCACAGGTATGGCTGAGTGCTGAGGTCCTTGTCCGCCTGAGTGGGTGTCTTGGGGGTTCACTTGGGGCCCCGCGTGAGGATGTGTGTCGGGGTGTGATGTCTGGGCCAGGGTGGGGTGATGGCCCTCTCCCTGCAGAGGATCTTCCTACAGGTCCAGGTCAGGGGATGCCCCTCACAGCTGCATGGATGCCACAGGCAGGGGGCCCTGCCAGGCTCTGCTATAGCAGAGTAGTAGGGGCCAGTGCTTTATTGATCATCCCAGCAGCCAGTGGCCGCAGGAACAGCAGTTCTGTGGAGAGCACAGTGCACCCTTCTCCTGCAGCCCCACTTAGAGGGAGAAGGCCCCAGGCCTGGTGACCACTGTGACCCCTGGAGACTCAGCCGGCTGCTGTCACAGCTTGTTGCGGGGGCAGCGCTGCAGGGCCTCCTTCAAGGCCTTGGCCACGTGGTCCACGTTCTCCCGGCTGGCATTGCAGCCCAGCAGGCCAATCCGCAGCACCTGGTGGGTGAAGGCAGGCAGAGTTCCAGGAACCAGGTGGTCCCAGGGACTCAGGCCAGAGCTGCCCTCACTGTGCACAGAGCTGGAGAAGGGGCTGGCAAGGTGGTCAGTGAAGGTCACTTGGCATGGCTAGCTGGGCAAGTCTGCTGGATGCAGGCTGAGGCTTATCAGAGCTGGGGGCGGGGGTGGGACACTGGGAGTGGATGGGGAAAGGCTGCACGGCAGGGTCCCTTCAGGCACACCCCACTGCTATCCCAGCCCTTGGATCCCATGGGGACCAGGACACAGGAGCCTCAGGGTGGGACTGAGTCTGATGCTTGGGCCAAGGGCCCTGACCGCTTGGGACTCCTCACCTTGCCCATGGAGGGCCCCAGCCCGCCAGAGATCTCAATGCCGAAGTGGTCCATGACGTAGCTGACGATGTCCCTCCAGTCGTAGCCTGCGGGCACTGCCACAGTGGTAATGGTGGGCAGACGGGTAGCCTGTGGGAAGTGTGCTGCTCAGCTGTATGGGTTGGACACTTGCATGCCCCTCAGTGTGGTGTCACCCAGGCCACCTGCCCAGCCTGACTGCCCTGGGGAAAGCAGGGTGACCACATGGCTCTGGTGGGGTGCTGGAGCACCTAAAGGCCGGGGACCCTGCAGGCCCTCCTAGGGCAGGACACACCCCTCAGACACGTGGCCACTGACATCACACTGTGTACGATCACTGTGTACCCCTCCTTACCGGGTCCCTCACGAAGAGCTGCAGGCCCAGGCCCTGCAGGCGGCTGTGCAGGTACGCCGTGGCCTCATGGTGCCGTCGCCAGCTACTCTCCAGGCCCTACAGGGAGGGGATGCTGATGGGCAGGGAATATGTGTGTGTGTGTGGCAGCTGCAGGCCAGGGCCTGCCCTGTGCAGCCACTGGAGCCCCCATGTGGGCTGAGGCAGGTGTGGAGCTGGCAGGCCTAGAGCAGGGCACAGTGTGGGCCAGAAGGGTGGAGGGAGGTCCACTACAGGAGGCAGGGGCCCCAGGGTGGGCGGCGGGGCTGGAGCAGGCCCATTCTTCTGGCTGGGGCAGTCCTTGAGCGCTGGGCCTCGTCCTCCCCCATCCCTGTCTACCCCCAGCCCTGCAGTCACCTAGCGGCGGCTGCTGTCTGCCACCCCCTCAGTGCTTGCCCCTTTCTTGTGACCCTTCCCCTCTGACCCCTTCTTTCCTCCCTGGCTCAGCCATGGCCCTCAGCTCTCAGGGACAAACACATGGTGTGGTGACCACCAGTGCATGGACACCTTGTCTCCGACCTGCCCTGCAGCAGCGGCTCACAGCAGGGACACCAGAGGGAAACATGGTGGCCATGCTTGGGGCCCTTCTGCACCCTACCTTGCCTCTTGGCTGGTGGCTGGCATTGGCCCCTCTGGGGACATCAGGACCAAGGGTGGTGGACAGTGCTTTGCTTTCTGATGACCTGTGTCCTGCTGGTGACTCAGCACTGGACAGAGCTGTCACCTTGGTCACACCCAGCTTCTCCAGCCTGGTTCTGGCACCCTGGGAGCTGCACATGCCTGGGAGTGCCTCCTTCCCTGCCATGCAAGTGGGCTGCTGGGGGATGTGTCCCTGTTACTTCTGTGGGAATCGTGCCTTGGGCAACAGGCTGGGGAAGTGGCCCTGGCAGGTGGTGGCCAATGCCTACTGCATGAGGCATCTGTAGGAAGCCAGCTGCCCCTCCAGGTGCCCCCGCTCTGGTCCTGCAATGCCCATAGGCATGTCCTGTCATGATGAGGCTAGAGCCCTGGCCAGATGCACAGTGACCATGGATTGCCCAGGTGCCAACCATGGCCAGGCAAACTGTGTTAGCCATGTTGCCCTGCCTGTGTGCCTGTCGGAGGGTGCCGCTCCCTCTCCCCAGTAGCTCGGACCTGTCCCTGTCCCCTCTGTCCCTGGGCACAGCTGGCGGCCCTCATGCACATAGTGAGCCCGGCCATCACCACTGGCCTTCTTGGGCAGTGCCCTTTCTGCAGGACAACCATCCCTGCCACTCAGGAGCTCTGCCCTACTTCCCTGGGGCAGCCCGAGGGCACCATGGGATGCAGCTGTGGCAGGCACAGCACAGTGGCCACTGTCCTCACGCACCCACACCCCACTGGCCATGCACCTGCTCCGCCATGAGTGCCAGGCTCTCCCTCAGGCTGTACAGGCCGACGACAGGTGTGGTGTGATGGTACCTGTGGCGGTAGGGCCCAGCTCAGGTCCTGGCCCAGGACCGGCCCAGCAACAGCAGCCCCTCCCAGGCACCAACCCACCACTGTCAGGGCAGGGTGGGTTTGCTGGGAGGGTAGCAGAACAGCAGGCCAGGAGGGACGTGGAGAGGCTGCCAGCTCCCCACCCAGGGCCCAGCCCACAGGAAGTCCATGTGGTTCTGGGTGCCCTGCCTCAGCTGTGGCTCATGGAGCCCCTGGTTCAGCCTCTCCCACCCCTGAGAGGGGTAAATTGAGGTTGGGAAGGGAGGACATAGCAGGGGCAGGACCACAGAGCCTGAGGAAGGACAGGAACAGGGCCATGGGACCTCCACGGTGGTGAGACAGGGCTGGGTGGACACCAGGTGCCCTCCCTGATGGGGAAGGCAGGGGTTCCGAGGCTGTGTGTGACGGTGTGGTGGCAGGGGGCTGTGGAGGTCACCACCCTAGCCCCGCCGCCCTCACATCCTGGGCTTGTTGTCGCAGCCCCAGAGGTTGGCCAGCAGCATAACATCCATGCTGAAGGAGAAGGGCTTTGTCCTGCGCATGTAGACCTTGTGCCTGGTGGGAGAGACCAGAGAGCTGCCCTGTGTCTTGGATATGGGTGGGGCCTGTCCCCTTGCTCCTGCCCCAGAGACATGTGGGCCAAACTGGTGCTGGGTCCCCAGCCTCTCGTCTCTCCTTCCACTGTCACCCATGGGTGACCACTCACTTAAAGACCTGAGGGTCCACTGCGCTGGCAACTCCAACCCACCCAGATGGGGGGAGTCAAGTGCAAGACTAGGGTCAGGGGCCCCCTCTTCTGAGCAGGCAGCCTCACTGCTGCTGTCCGCCCTGGTCCTTGGCTGCACAACCCCAGGCCCCAATGCCACCCCTCTGGAAACTAAAGCATCTGTGGTGGTGGTGGGGCATGTGCAGTTGGGGCTCCCAGCTCCGGGCCCACAGGTGTCTGATCACTGGTGTACCATGAAGGGTCCTGACCTCACCCCAAATCCTGGTTTCTGCAAATACTCCAGTGGTCTGGCTGTGACCGGAGGGTGACCACTGCCTAGCCTGTCCTCCACTTCTCTGACCCCGTCCTGGCTCAGGGGTGGACCAGGGATGTGAGGTCGCTGGCAGTACGGAGAGGAGAGGGCAACTCCAGGTCAGACCACACAGGCCGACCAGTCCCTGGTCGCCCCCCACCATTCATCTGTGCCAGATGGGGTCCTGGATCACTCACTTGGCCCTGCTGCTGAAGGAGAGCAGGGAGGTGCCTGGGGGGCTGTTGAGAACCTTCTGGGAGCCAGAGTACAAGACATCGATGCCTGGGGAGCACAGGCTCCTGTCGGAGTTGGCCCAGCCCAGCCCCACGCTGTATCCGGTGAGTGGGGCAGGGGAGCAGGAGGGAGTCCTGAGTTCGAGTCTCAGGCCTCAGCAGAGCCTCAGCAGAGCTTCCCTCTCCTGGGTCAGTGTGTGGTACCTGCAGACAGCACTGTCCCTCCCCGCCTTGCTGCGGCTCCATGGCTCCCCAGCACTCCCCCAAGGTCTGGCCCTGCCCCAGTTCCATCTGTGCCTTGCTGTGTTCCCAGGGCTCCTGTGTTGGGGGTCCTGGAAGAGGTGGGGCCTGGAGGGGGTGGTGGAGCCCTGGCATTGGGTCACAGTAATACAAACGGGATGTGTGCATCAGTGAGGGGCTGGCACTGCTGGCCTGTTGGGGGCAGTGGGGCCTGCAGGGCACGCACACCTTGCTGGTCCATGTAGATGGGGGACCCGCCTAGGGATGCCACGGCGTCCACCAACAGCAGGCACTGGTACCTGGGGGTGCACAGAGGGTAGTGGAGTGAAGTAGCTGGGGCTTCTTCCAGGGTCTTGTGGGGCAGCCAGGACTGTGAGGGCCCCCTCCTCCACAGAGCTGCCAGGACCCCTACCCAGCTCCTGGGAGCCAGGGGCAGCTGTTGGCTGCTGAAATCATCACCCAGGCCTCAAGGATGTCAATAGATTTGTCCCACCACAGGGTCCCCATGGGGTGTGCTTGAAGGGCAGCCTGGGTGGCAGGGTCCCCAGGGACCTGGTGGCACAAAGTCAGGTCACCCTCTGTCAACAGCTCCCAAATTCCACTGTCTGGCAGGAGGCACAGAGTGGTGAGGACAGAGTCCAGATGCTGGCAGCCACCAAGAGGACCCCAAAGCCCAGGCTTCTGTACACAGCTCTGTCCCATACCAGCTTCAGTGGGCACTGTGACACATGGGAGCTTTATTCCTCAGGTGGGGGAGGCTGGAAATGGGAGGTGGAGGGTTGCCCTGGGGCGCAGGCTGTTGGGCAGTGCCAGCCCGCCATAGCTGTGGGCATCCTGCCACAGAGCCCTTGATCCTGCTGCAGTCCCTGTGTCCCCCTTAGTGGGAGGAGCCATCTAGATTCCACCGGGATGGGTCATGGAGGGCCTGAGAGGCACTCAGGGAGGGCAAGGGGCAGGACCCAGCAGGGTGGCTGGACCACCTGCTATGCTGGGCAAGAGAGACCTGCCAGCCTTGTGGCACCCCGCCAGCCTTGGGGAAGACCCACCTATGGCACAGCTCCCCGTAGCCGTCCAAGGGCTGCAGCACCCCAGTGGAAGACTCCCCATGGGTCAGGAACAGCAGTACTGGCTTGTGCTGGGTCAGGCCCTGAGGGCAGAGGGATGGCTGTGGACAGGGTCCATGGACTTCCTGGGGGCGCAGGGCAGATCACCCCTACATACCCCTCCCTCCACAGGACTCTTGGCCCGGTAAATCTGTGGGGGCTACTGCAGTCCACAGTGTACCACAGGGTCGTGACTGGCCCACCGGCAGGAAGCAGGAAGCTGTGGCTGAGTCAGGAACAGGTCCTGCCTCCTCCTCCAGCCCTGCCAGCCCTGCCAACGGGACTCAGGTTCCTTGCCAGACAGCACCAGCTTCCCACCTGTCCTCACGTAAGCGAGTGCCTCTCCTGTGGCCAGACGCTGCCCCAGTCCCCTGGCCCTGAAACCAGTCCCCAGGCCCTGAAACCAGTCGGTGATGCCAGCATCTCCCACCCCAGCCCCAGGTCAGGTACTGCACCTCCTCCACTTCCTGCAGTGTGTAGTGGCCTCCAGGCTCCTTAATCATGGGGTGCACATGAGCTCCTGCAGGTGAGAGGCAGCTGAGAAGCCCTCATGGCTGGGATGGTGCTGGGGACCAGGGGCACATAGGGCTGGGCCACAGGTCAAGCAGAGCATGCTCAGGAAGGCTGTGCGTCCAGAAGGCTTCTGAGGGGACCTCTGGGTGGACCTTCCCCAGCCCCACCCCAGAGCACAGCGGAGGGATCCCTGTCTCCTGCCCAGCACAGATGGTCAGTGAGCATCATACTGTTAGCCCAAGGGCTCCCTGCAGGGACTGTGCCTATGGCCACGCACAGTGGCCTTGTTCCCTCTGGTCCATGCTCAGTCCAACCCTGGCTGCTCTGGAATACAGCCTCGACTGATAGGGGCTGGTAGGGCTGGGCCCCTGGTGGGCTGTCCATTTCCTCCTCAGCGAGGCTGTGTGGACCCTGTGGAGACCATGCAAAGCACTGGGGGCTTGGCTGGTGCGAGCTGGTACACTCTCATGCTCTCCACAGCTTCTGAGAGCCTCATTGGGAGAGGCTGTCCCTGCAGTGTCTCCGGGTGAGAAAAGCCCAGGAAGAGAGCTGTTTCTAAGACTAGGGAGTTCTGGAAAGCCCTCTCCTGTCACAGAGCAGAGCAACACTTGGAGACCTTGAGGGCTGCAGGGCTCAGGCCAGGAGACCACGGTCTGTCCACAGCCACCCCAAATCTGGGGGACCAGGGCCTCCACTGTACTACTGCCTGTCAGGGTCTGTGCCTGCAGGAGGAGTGCGGGAGCAAAGGCCCAAAGGGAGAATGGGGTGAGTGCTGCCAGACCAGCAAGGCCAGGGCCCCACTGCCCCTGCCTGGACTCACCGATCCGTTCACCGATGTCCGCGGCCCGAAGCCCCCATATGCCATTGGCCCCAACCAGGAAAGAGTCCCCTGGCTCCAGGAGGTTGAGCAAGGCTGTCTCCAATGCACAGTGTCCCGAGCCACTGACAGCCAGTGTGAGGGGGTTCCTGGTCTGGAACGCATACTGGATGCCCTGCTTGATCTCATCCATGACCTGGGTGGGGTGGGCACGCAGTTGGCACCACTGCTCTGCACTCTCCTGCGCAGGCAGGGAGCAGCTCGCAGACTGACCAGGTGGCAGCTGGTTACCTGGAACATCTCCTTGTGCATGTGTCCAATCAGGGGCAGCCCGCTGGCCGCCTGGGCACGGGGGGCCAGGTTGGAGGGGCCGGGGCCCAGCAGGAGCCTGCTGGGCACAGAGAGTGGCTTGAGCAGGGCCTCCGGTGGAGCCACGTACAGCTGATGAGAGGCCATAGTCCGCACCCAGCCACCGCCAGGGGCCCCAGGGCAGGACTGGCCTTGGCCAGTGCTCAGAACATTGTCCAGCTGGCCCCACTGGTCACAGAGGTGAGGGCGATCGAATGGAAGCACTTCTGCTGACCCCATGTCATGCCGCTGTTGTTACTGGAGCCTTTACCACTGTTTGTCCTGCTGTCAAGATCCATAGCCTGCTGTTGAACCTCAGGTTGGGGGTCCCTCAGAGACCAAAGAGAAATGCTTTCGAGTGAAGGGCAGTTGCCCCCACGCAGCCCCTCTGGCTCCCGTAGCCCTGAGGCACCCAGCCAAGTGGGTCCTGCTTACTCAGCAGTCTGAAAGCGCCAGGTAGAGAGTCAGAGAGCAAACACAGGCTTTGTACCCACTGCAGAAGCCGGCGTGGTCTGAGAGCAGGGTGGGAGTGGCTGGGTTCTAATAAAGCTTTATTTATAAGAGGCAGGCACAGGGGGCATAGGGTGGGGTGCAGGGTGTTGTGGGGCTCCATTAAGCAAGTGTGCAGGTAGTGTCTGTATGGAGACCCCACTCACACATGCACTGACAGTCACACGATAACACAAACACACAGTAACTTACACTCATACACATACACACTCTCAGACTCATTCACACACTAACACACTCTTGTATACTCACACTCAATCTCACACAATTACTTACATTCATTTACACTCATACTGGCACATACTAACACACAATCAATACTGGGCTCACACACTATCCCCCCACACCTTTACACTCGCAGATACTTGTACACAAACACGCTCACACCCATGTACACTCATTTGAATTCTTGCATTCACATATTTATGCTCACGCTAGCATACTGACACACTCACACCCTGGCACTCCCACCCAGTCACCCATCAGGGCCACACTGGGTCCTGACCCTTTGGGAGGAGCATTTCCCAGGTCCCCTGTACCAAGGCCCTCAGCCTGGGGCTCACCCTAACCAGTGACAATCACCTGGGGGCACAGGCAGGAAGGGTTCCACACCCCAAGCTCCTGGGTCTCTGGGGGTCAAAAGTCTGGCGGCCTATTGGCTCCACTGCAGGCAAGGTGAGGGGCAGTTCCCCCTGCAGCTCACATGTCCTGCCAGCACACCTGCTGGGGCTTAAGGGAAGCTGCTTCCTGCTGGGACTGCTACTCCATAAGCCTCAAGTCCTTAGGTGCCAGGGAGGAAGGGCCCGCCCCAGGACGGGCCCTGCTCCCTGCTTGGCACAGCGCTCACTTCCGGCCGCCAGAGTCCATGTTGCCAGCCCCGCCAGCCCTGCATGACCCCCTCCTCTCTGTGCTGACTGCAGGCCATCACTGTGTCCTGGGGTGGGGGACATAGGGCCCATCCCACCTTCATACTCTGCTGAGCCAGAACCCAACTTCCCCAGACCCTGTCCTTGGCCAGCTGCTTGAGGCCTCCCGAGCTGACCCCTGCCCCTCCACACACTGCTGCTAATAGGCTCCTGTGCCTTGGCAGGAAGCTCACCCCTCAGCTGCACTCCCCTGAAGCCCCCCTGTTGACCCCACTGTGTGAATGTGTCTCCAGATGACTTTGGATGCCCTTCCGGGTTGTCACACCACGTGTGCACTGCCCACCCCATCCTGGCAGGACCTCCCTCTCTGCGTGCCCAGGTAGTGTGTGGGAGGCCCTGAGAGCTGGGCCCCAGAGGGAGGGTGGGGTGCAGATTGGTGGGGGATGTCTCCGCAAAGCCTGGGGCACCCGCTGGAGCTAACACCACTGGGGTCAGCTGAGGTGTCGAAAAGAGGGAAGGCGTTGCCTCAGCCTGCAAGCTGATTGGGTGTTTCTGCCACCACCACCAACACACAGCAAGGCAGGATGACATCTCCCTGGAGATAAGCAAAGCAGCCTCCCTGCCTAGGTGAAGCCATTCCTGTCAGCCACGTGACAGCATCCACAAGGTCCAGGCCGCAGGCCTCAACCTCCCCACACAGTGTGTCCCCAGGGTCCTCGGTCCCCAGTGGAGTCACTGGTGGGACAGGTGGGTGCTTCCTGGTGCACCACACAGAGTGTAGCCTCCAACCAACAGGGAGATACAGGCCACTACGCTGGCTGTGGTCTCCTGTCTTCCCCAAGCAGTGAGCCCCGTGGCCTTGTGCTCTAGCAGGGCTCCTAGCTGGCTCCTCAAAGCCCTGCTTCCCACCTGTCCTGACATCCAGGCCAGAGAATACACAGGAGGCTGGGAACCCATGCCTCAGACAAAGTGGGGTGAGGAGCCCCAGCCTTGAGGGGAGGGAAGGGCTCCTGGGGCTGCTGCTGTGGGGCAAGCATTGGGCCTCGGGAGGTCCCCATCCCAGCACCTTCCAGGCCAGGTCTGAGTGGCTGGGCAGAGTGAGCCCCACAGAGCACCCCGAACAGACCCTGGCCCTGGAGTGTGTGAGAATGTGGGTGGGGGCACAGCCACACTGCACCCTGTCTGCATAATGACCTTGTCCCTGGCTGAGTCTCTGGGTGTGGTGCACATCCGTAGGAAGAGTGAGTGCTGGGTGTGGTGGCTGGGGCCTCCAGGGGGTTCTGTCCTCTTCTGCTGGGAGTTCCCTGTGCTGTGTCATTGTGTATTGTGGCAGCTGTGACTAACCAGGGGGCTGCGGGCTGTGCAGGGTCCTGTGTTGTCATCCCTGGACTTGTTGGCCTATGCCTGCCTTGGGACAGCCGGGACAAAGCCTGGCTGAGCTCACCAGGACATAGATGTTTGAGGGTCTCATGCCGTCGCATGCAGGGCTCTTGCCCTGACATGTGGACCCAAATCTCAGCCTGGGATGGTCAGGCTCCACCTTTTCACCCCAAGTCCGCTGGCCGTGTGCTAACCTCATCTGCTAACCTCAGGACAGCGCTGCAGTCTTCGCAGACACTGAGCAAATGCACCCAGGCACTGCTGTAAGTTGGAATCGGATCCAGTTAACATCAACGCTAATTTCCTCTCAAAATTCAGCTCGAGGCTCATCAGAAAGCAAGGCCCGAGGTTCTCCAGGAAACTCAGCCAGGATGTTTCAGCTCCCCAGCCCAGGGACCTGGAACCTTCTCCAGCCACGTTCCTGGGGGTCACCCACAGGTGGCCCCTGTCCTCTACGTGGTCAGGAATGGAAGGGACATGGACTTGATGCTTCTCCGAGGGGGAGGCCTGGAAGGCCCTCCCTTCCTCAGACCCTTAAGCCCAAACACTGAGCTACCTTTGGGGTCTACAGCTGGACTGGCCGCCCTGCTGGGCCGTCAGCAGGAGAGGGAGGCGGGCGCTCCCTGGAGGTTGAGAGTGGCGACCATCGCAGCACAGGGCTCGGCCACCAGAGCTCGGGTGTGCCGGGGTGTGCCCGCAGGTCTTCTCTGGGGCGGACCACTCGGTGGAGGACCCTCCTGCTCCAACCTGGCCCTGCCGGCGTGGCTCCTCCGAGCGTCGCCGTTGTTTCTGGCACAACCTCTCGTTCCTTCCTCTGTCCTGCCCTTCTTACACCTCTGAGGGCTTCTGAAACCGGTTCAGCAAACGGCGAAGGAGAAGGGAGGAAGCTTTGGTTGCGCAAACTCTGGAGGACAGTCTCACAACAATCAGGAGGGCGGGAGAGCGGGGGTGGGGGACTTGGCGCCTAGCGGGCGCCCTCTGGTGGGCGCAGCGGGGATGAGTCCAGCTCTCCGCAGCCATCTGCAGACCACTTTGGGGCCGCGAAGGCCCGGGGTCCCCAAACTGCGCCTGCCCCAAAGCCCTTCGTCCCACACGTCCCACACAGGGTGAACGAATTAGGCCCACCCGCTATGGCCTGGGGCTGGGTTCTGCCCCTTGGGGGGCCCTCACCTGCATCTCGGGGGTTCTAGGAGACATTTGTTAGACACCCCGTGAAAGAAGTCCCCAGACTCCCTGTCCTGGCTGCCCTTAGACCCTGCGTGCTCCCACATACTGTTTTATCCTGCGGGTCTCCTCAGGACACTGCAGACAGGTACTCTGGCTTCTCTTAAACCCAGAAATTGATTTCCCTCAACCCTGATTAATCCTTTTCTTTTCTTTTGTGTCAGGGACTCACTGTATAGCCCAGGCTGGCATAGAACTCTTATTGATCATCCGGGTTGCTGGGATGACAGGCATGCTCCACCAGGCCGGCTAACTGATTCTTGACTAGGCCCCTGTTTACTGTAAGGGGTGCAGGCAACCTCTGGGCTCATTTCTGAGCTAGCTTCTTCTCCGCATTCATTGCCAAGCTTCTCTGATGAGAATAAACAGTTCTGAACGGTGGTGAGAGGCGCCCAGGATTAAAGTACCTATATGCTGGCCCCGGAGAGGCAGATGTGACACAAGCCATGTGGGAGCGTGGTGCAGGGAGACTGAAAGCCCTGGGCCAGGCCTGGCTGGGGTGGGGCACTGGATGTGCAGGGGCAGAGAAATTGGGGAAGGAGGCGCCAGTTGCTGCCGCCTGCTTCCAGGGCCAGCTCTGTACCCAGGGCACTGGGAGTCCGCCTGCCCCTTGCTGTTTAGTTCTGGCCTCCCTCCCAGCTCCCCTGTCCCCTCTCCTCTCCTGCAGCTGGTAGGGAGGCAGAAGAGCACTGTCCCAGATGTGGAAGCACACAAGGACTGAGGGATCTGGTCCCTGGCCACTGACTTTGCTTCTGTGTGGTGAGGATTTGGGGGACAGCAGGCAGAGTGCTCAGACAGTGCAGGGGTGCTGGAACCCACATCCTCCAGGACAAATATGGGCTCCGGTGTCCAGCCCAGTCTGTGACCAGCACCTGCCCACCCGGCCACAGCTGACTACCTTGGAGAGGCAGGTGAGGTCACGGCCTGTCTAGGTCTGCACACTGGGTCAATGGACAGCTCCCAGTGAACACATGGAATCACCAGGGGGGCTGCCTCGTGGCCGCACATGCCCCCCCAATCCTTGTTGCCCTGGTGCCCCTAGAAGAAGGTATCCCTGAGGCCTGTGGGGGGTTCCCCTTGGGCAGGCAGCCCTCCCAGTTTACCCATCTGAACCCTGCCTGCTCCTACTCTGCCTGGAAGGTGGGATCCCTAGCACTTGGCTGCTGGCACCTCCAGAGTTTAGGGATGAACTCCCAAGATCCATGATCTCCAGGGGCTGATCTGCCTGGAAGGTTTGGCAGGACTGGCAGCACCATCCTTCTTACCTTAACATCGTGCCTGGTGGACATCCCATCCTCCCCTAGTCTCTGGGGGACCCCAGGATGCTCTGCCTAGAGGACGCTGGCTCTCGTGGCAAGCATCCGTCCGACACCCACATCTACAGTGGCCAGACAAAGTCAGAGGCTCAGAGTTGGGGCCTGGGGTCTGGATCACTGGGCTCCAAGCTTGTGCCAGAACTCACCCTTCTCAGGAAGGAGCCAGGGCTGTGCAGGAAAAGCGACACCCAGCGGC